GGGATAGCGAGTGGAAAGAGCTGCGTGTCTAACAGATTCCGCGCCCTTGGGTACCCCGTGGTCCCCCCCCCCCCCCCCCCCTTCCTCTCTGCCACGTCTCATCTCCGCCATGACTTCAGGCGGTCTTCGAAAAAATCCAATATGTCTACCAGGTCCGCCCCAGGTTATGCCGGGCCCGGGCCGGCACCGAGGTCACACATCGACTGAGTTTGAGGTAATTACTGTCCGTGCTATGGCTGACATCATCGCAGCAGGTCATGCTCTGATGCTGACAGCTGTCGCCGCAATGATGGACGAAGGGGTCGTGCGTTGGCGGCTGTAAAATATCCAAACGTTGAGATCCCTGTAAGGGTGGACACAGCAGTCCCTCTTAGATGCAATGATTCGCAAAAGCGGCACAAGAAAGTAGGTAGTAAAAAATGATGTGTCACGTGGGTGAGTCCATAAACAGCATCCCTTCAAAGGTAGATGTCTCGTGACAGGACCATGTGAGCGTCGTTTACTACAGGCTCTATCAGCGCAACCTCCCCGAGATACTCTTTTAAACCACTAGTGTCTACCCTCCTCCCGATCACAACCAGCAGAAACATCCAACACCTCGATCAAGATGTGTGCTCAGCTTACTTCAAACGTCATCGCCATGAGCACCCATCGCTCTCTCCAACACGCTCCCGCAGGCTCTTTCCAGAACTCAAGCGCTGCTTGCAGTCCTGCACCCTTCAATATCAGCGCTGAAAGGTGGACGAGCTTCTCCTTGGATAAGCGAAGGAAGCTCCTATGCCTGGCCAACTCAATCATGATGGTGCAGAAGAAGATTGAGCAGAGGGCTGATGGTGAGCTCGCCGAACTCCCGAGCATTCCTCAAGCGCGAAGAGAACATTAGATAACAGTGCATCGCCGAATTTCTGTAGATTAGAGTGTAAAGTAGTTTTGTGATTATAAAAGACGAACGAATCTATCCATCGCGTGTCTATGGTTCAAAGTGAGAGACAACAACAAAAAAAGGGCTCAGCAAAGAATGATCCTATCTTCTATGATTCCTCACTGTTCTCCCCGACAAGACCTACAATGATCCGCTGTTGACCGACTTCACTGATGAAGGCGCTATCCAACATGGGATTGTTCACAAGATGCGGTTCAATTTCAGGACAACACAAATCACGTTTCTTCCACCTTGCTGGTGCTGTCTGCAACAACAGGAGAGCTTGTTTGCTCCATGCCCATGTTCAACATGGTAATTGTTTACGGTTTCAGTGTAACTCGCAACAAATTCAAGAGCTCTGCTACCAGGCTGGTGCTACGTTGCTCCACTGCTGCAACCCAAGTTGTATCCATGATACTCATAGTTGAGACCCATCTGGTTGATCGACTGGGCTGCTGCATTTTGTGACAGTAAACTTCAATCAATCATTTTGCAATTAAGGCCTTAGGAAGGATCTGACATCTTGACCAGGTACCAGGACGGAAAGGAGTATTCAACAGTAACCCCGACCCTCAGGCCGCGCGTTTTGCAGAAACTCCTCAGGGCCTGTCGGACTGGAGATCTTGACAGCTCTGACGTCAGCCTCTCGTTCAGCTGCCCTCCAACCCTCACCGCACGGACTTCTGCAAGCAAGCATCGAAGTATTCCCCAGGCATGTAGCCAGCCCCTGCCTTTGAGCTCAGCTCCACCGGGGCATAATCACTCCAAACCCTCTTCCTCCCCCTTCCTCTCTCAGCTCTTCATACCTAGCAAGAGGTCCCCGTGCTCGAGCCGTTCGTACACGAACTCTAGAGCCTGTCGGTCGGCATTGACACATGTTTCTTCATTTGCGGAAGCCCCCCCCCCTCACCTTCTCGTACATCTCCACCCCTACTCCCATCGCGTCAAGATGCACTAGCAGAGGCCTTACGTGTCTCTCCAGCAGCGCCAGTCCTTCTGCCGTGGGTCGCAGTCAGCATGAACTAAGAACTCCTCATTTCCCTTCCCCTCCCCTCCCCCACCTCCCACTTCCATCTGCGTCGAAGAACTCCTCCTCATTCCTCACCGTAAGTCAACCAGCTCGTCTCGTATCCCTGTGGAATTTCAATGGAGGAACGGCAGCGGGTCAAGATGTACCTTGTCAGAGCAGAAGAGTATCATATCCGTCACTGTCGCCTCCGCGATTCTCCACTCAGTCGCTTCCAGCCTGTCAGTCACGAGGAAGACACACAAGCCACTAGTGCTATTCCTCTCCATGCTCCAGTGCCATGACTCAAAGATGTTCCCTCTCGAATCTGCTGCTCGGTCCGCGTCGACAAAGTTCTCCTCCTCCTGCGGTTCCGTCCTGAATCGAGTGGTTGCCGTGAGGGCGAAATGCGGAGGGTGCAGGGTGACCTTGGCCTCGTAGAGCATGTTGCTCAATAGTGGAAACTGCTTGTATGTCGCAGATGTGTACTCCACTTCCGTCCACTCTGAATCGTCGGCGGGGTCTCGCAGGGGATCCAGAGCTCGGATGCCGACGATGAAGAGCATGTTCTCCTGATGGTGGTCAACCTCCCATCGAAGGATGCCTTTCTCGGCAACGATGGTGGAGTTGTAGGAAGGGAACAGGATGCGAAGGCTGGGGTTGTCTTTCGCTATCATGCAAAGAGGGATGCATTCCAAGTCATAGCCCATTGGGTTGTCTGACCGGTCAAAAATCGAAAACATCCGCGGGTGTCTCTTGGCTACGATGGAGAGGTAGAACTCCTCAGTCAGGAGAAAGCCGTTGGACATGACCTCGTGCATCACAGAGCTGTACTCCTCCTCCAGCCAGAGGGCCTCCTTCCCCTTCATTGCCATGAAGGATCCCTTGATCGTGAACGGAGGGAGCTCCTGGCAGGGCAGCCCTCCTTGCTGCGTCATGTCTGTGTGCTTGCAGAACCGCTGGGTTGCGTGGTAGGAGGAGACGAGGATTCTCTTGTTGTCAACGAGCTCATCAACCCATGAGGTCGAGATATCGTGACCATCGAGGCAGCCGAAGCATGAAGGGACCGAGTCAATCCACACGAGCATCGTCGTGGAGCTCTGGCCGAGCATCCTTGCGGCTCTGGCGATCAGATGGGGCTTCAGCAACACAAGCGCAAGGTAGTAGGGAGACTCTGACACCTTGTGCCAATTCCATCCAAAAGATTTCCAGGACTCATTTCGCATCTCCTGCATTCTATCGAAGAAGGGGAGCTTTCTCAGTTCGGCCCTCTCAATCTTCTCAACGCGCAGGAGCTGGCTTTCCTCTGGCGATAGGCTCTGCTCGATCTTTGAGTCCAGGAAGGCAATGGTCGGACATCCCAGCGAGACAATCTTCCTGATGCCCCCGGCATAATGCACCCAATGCCTCTGAGGAGAACGCCACTCGCTCGTCAAGTCCATCGCAGCTGTAACGAGAGTTATGCCGGCTGGACATGCTCGCTTGGAAGGAGGAGGATCATCTCTGCTCTGCAGCAGGTCGAGATGTGTGGCTTCTGATCCACTCTCCGACTGCATAGTCTCTGCATGACGCAAAGGGACTATCTTATTGGAGATGTTCAGCTCGTACTGCTGGTTGTTGACTGAGAAGAGCACTTGTGACCGAACTTCACACTTGGAAGATGTCTTGAGCCAGATGTCCTGCTTGATGATCACAATGGAGCATCTCGGCATTACTAGTTGATCCCTCACGTTGTGCTGGTCGACCAAGTCTGCTGTGCCCGCATAGTGCCAGCCATGCACGAGAGTCACAGGGAGCGGGCCGGAGGAGATCTCAAGGAAGTAACTTCTCATTGGCTGGGAAGCGATTGGCTCTGAGAGGACGGCGCGATGCAGGACCTGAGGGTATCGGATCTGAATCCACGAGTTGCTGATGCTGCCAACATACGCTCCATCCTCATTGTGTGTCGAAGATCGAACCGAGAGAGAGAGGAGCAGGAACACGCATACAATCAGCAGATTGGGCTGAATCTCGGGCAGCATTGCAGGAATGAATCGAGTACGTTTGCAGAGGAGTCAGGCTTCAGAACACATGCCGCAGACTTGCGCGTGGCACTTCAACAAGGAGGCTCACTGTAGTGAGAGCAAGAGGCCGCTGCCGATGGCCGGATTCAGCAGCACAGTCCGTCGGCCGCTGCCTGAGCAACTTCGGCAGCACCACTGAGGCGGCATCATGACGGCAAGCGGCCGCCCGTGGCAGCTCTGTAGCCGCCGCGTGCGCATGTAAGCCGCCGAGCTTGGAAGGCCGGGCGGCTTGAAAGGGTCAACTTGTGACTTGCCGCTGAATGCCGAGGCTTTGACCGTAGTCAAACTTTCAAGCCGGGATGATGTCACGGTCCTGAGCCTTCCAAGGCAGGCTTTGGCGAACGGTTCCGACCGTGCCGGCCCGGCGGTGACCCCCGGCCCCGGCGTGAGCCGACCGCCGGGCCGTCGGACCGGACCTTCCGATGAACAGGCTCAGTGGCACCGTACGGTGGCAGGGGGGCCTCCGGCTGCTAGACTGGCGCTGGCCGGGCTGATCCAGCCGGGCCGGGCCGCGGGCGGCGGGGCGCCGCCGCGGGGCGCCGCGGGGCCGCCCGGCCGGGGCCTCACTCAAACTTTAAGTTACTTAAGTTAAGATCCAGTTAATCCGACGTACGGGCCGGGGACAATCATGGCAGGAGACTGAGCCGAGCGGCTCGCCGGAGCGGCGGCTCAGCGGCTCGTTCGGGTCTCCGGCTTGGTTATCGCGGGCCGCCCGGCCAGGACGGCCGGGCTCAGACCGTCACTACCGTACGCCTGATTCGAGATCATTTCAGTTGAGATCATTTCATGAGGACTCGAGTCGGACGGCGCTGGACTACTAAGTTGGCCATCGGCGGGCCCGGGCCGCTCGGACTCAAGTTGCCGTTTACTCAAAGTTAAGTGTGACTCAACTTCTGAGAAAAAAGAGGAATCCACCCCTACCTCATCCTAACCAGACTGAATCTTGTTGCTCTGAGGGTGGTCAGTCGCTAAGGGGGTCTATTGGGGTCAGCAGGAGGCCGCGTGTCCGTTACTCTCAACGGCTGACCCCAGAACAAGCGAAGAGAGTCCCGTGGCCGGTAATTGACCACCCCCAGGAGATATATCCAGAACATCAATATTTGCTACCCCACCCTTGATGTACAAAAAATTCTCCTGCATAGCAAGGTGGGATGATACCATAATTTAAACTATGCTCACAAGTGAATTATTCCTTCTTTTCGTAGTCAATTCTGACGGGGTCTTGTAGTACCCCTGGTTGTTCCTCACCCTACCCTTCATTACCAGCCGTTAAGCCTCTTCGTCCAAAAGGTTGGTGTGGTGTTCAAATTTACCACCCTAACATGATAAAGGGTACTGGGGGTTGTTCTAGGTCCTAGCAGACTTTTGACTGGTACGAAATACAGCAACCTCTTCGTACAAACCCGACTACCAAGACTACCCCTACCACAAATATACCCATCCTTCACAGTGTGCCAGTCGATTAAAACTTCTATTATAAATAACATACACTCTTGAACCCACCCCCTACCGTCGATTGCTGGAGCTGCGCCAGAGGTTCGACCAGTTTGAAAATCCAAGTTGTTCAGTCCAACTTGGCCATCCATATTTGAAATACAAATGGACTGTGTTCACTTTGCTTCTCGGGACATCCCGAAAGCTTGCAGGCAAACTCGATTTGCACCTGCTGGCGATTACCAAACTTGTTGAGGGAATTCACCCCTTTCAAATTTGAATGCTCTTCCCCACCCCTACTTTTCCCCTGTTTTTGACCCCCAATACGATCGATACTCTAATAACCGGGGCGCATCACTGCCGAAGAGGAGTTGGTCAATTTTCATGGTACCCCCCGGCGAATCAATATGAACCCCACCCCCAGGAGTAGTTCAAACTTATCAATGTGAACCCCACCCCCGTCAGTAGATCAAAATTTACACCCTACCTTCCAGAAATCTTGTACATACCCACCCTTTCGTAGTTTTCGTTCTCCCATATTGTTGACCACCCACCATATGGAACTACTACCCTCTGTTCCAGAGCTTCCAACAACAATCCCAAAATATGTTCGGGTCCTCTATGAACCTGAAAAGGGACCCACTGTGAAAACACATGCTTGTTCCGTTCAATCGTGTAACCTGTATTAGCTCTAGATTTTGTAATGGACGGCAATAGCAATTAAACAATATGTCGTGGTATACATCCTCAAGGAATCAGAGACCTTTTCCCAAAGGGGGTCCCCAAAGTCTGCAGGGGTTCCCGTTGTGTAGAGATAGTTTTTTTTTCCTTTCTGGTACAAATCATTGATTCGTGGCGTCATCGCTGACGTTTGTACCGACTAAGACCATCAGCAAATTATTGTGTTATTCCATTGCAGATTGGCGTTCAGAACCCCACCTGTGCACTACACTCTATAGCATATACGTATGTGTCAGCAGGGTCCTTTACGCCAAGAGATGCCCTCTTAACTACCCACCCCACCCCTATTTCAGCTCTCTACTCACGCCTCCTTCCATCCCGTAGCGATTCGAAACTGCGTCGGTTGATTATGGTCATGACCTGAAGCCATGACCTCCAAGAGGAGGTAGGGGTGATCTTAAATATAGACTATTTACCGAATCGAAGGAGAATTCGTCGAGTCTACCAGTAATTATCTAAAATTAAGACCACTTCTGAAGCCCTCATAGAATTTGGGAATTGTAGGGTAGGGTGGGTGAACTCCGGTATGGGTATAAAAAGGTCCTCTGGCCCCTCAAGCTTCACGAGAGCCGCTGTCCTGCTGCTTTGAACCTGTTTGTGTGCTGATCTTTCGTAGTATTCCCGCTCTTTCTTGCCGTTTTGCCTTCCACTTTCTTCTTTCCCTTCATATAGACAACACCACTTCACGATGAGGCGACCATGCCAACCCCATGCTGTTCTTGAACAAGAACTCAACATCCTTCTCCAAACTCAGCAGAGGGTGGAAGAAAGTACCGCTGCTGTTATCAGGGGATGCGAACTCGACATGGCGAAAGAGATCAAGACCCGTGTGCGCACAATCAAGAATCGATTGGCTGCCAAAAAGTCTCGCGATCAGGCGAGAACGTACGTACAGAAGCTTGAGGCCAACCTTGCTACCTTGGCCTCTCAGAACGAGGCCATGGCTCAGCGTTTGGCGCTGATGGAGTCTGAGAATGAGAACCTCCGTACCGAAAACGAGGTTCTGAAGAAGAAGGCAGGATTTGAAGCTTCAGATGCTACCCCTGATTTCCTCAAATCCCTTGTCAAGGGCGGAGCTGATGTCAGTGCTGTACACAGCGGTGGTGGTCAGCCTATTCACCTTGCTGCTCTTTTTGGTACTCCTTCCGTTGCTGCTCCCCCTGTGGTCGACGACCACGTTGAACAGCATGCCAATGAATCTGTCATCTCCATGCAGATCAAGGAACGTTTTGGTCTCACCAACTCCAGTGAGTCGGACAAGAAGACAGCTGAAATGGAAGAGGCTGCGGAGCATGGAGCCACTCTTGAAGTGTGGCGCAGGGAGAAGAGGCGCAGGCAGAACCGCGAGGCTCAGCGAAGGCACAGAGAGAGACAGCTCTGTCAGCAAAGCCGAGACCTGTCCAACCGATGCCAGCTCGATGGATTCCAGGGAAGCTCGTCGTGGATGGGTATGTCTTATTCGGGCGATTCGGCGCCGATCAATGCTCCAGTTGCAGCTCCCGTGCCTGCACCTGTGGACTGGTCGATGCAACATCATGCTCACCAGTCTACACCTATGGTACAGCATTCAAGCTTTGCTGGAGTTGTTCAGCATGAGATGCACCACGAGGCACAGCCCATGAACAATTACATCGATCCACTCATGGTTCCTCAGATGAATACTTCCATGTTTGACGTCAATTCTTTCCCAGTGTCTTTGTCCCGCAGCTCGTCATTGGGTAATTTGACACTTTCTCGTCAGTCCTCTTTGGGCAACATGGCCAAAGATGTCGATGAGATGTGGCAAGGAAGCCTTCCCTTTGACGAAGTGAAGTTGTAGTGGATGAGATATTTTTTTGTACTTTAATACCCTTTTGAATAAATTTGCTGTTTGCCTGAGAATCGTAAATAGGTATTCTATTCCCTTCCTTAGCACTCGTTGTTGATAAACCAATATTATGACTGGATAATACGTGATCTAGCACTTGTAGATACCTGGCATTTTTCAGAGATCGGGTTCTACTTGTATCGTGATGTAGTACCATGACGCCAGACTGGATCATATCAGATCATACCTGAGATCGTTGAGTCAAGATTGCCTGGACGATGGTTACCATTTATGGTACACAACGCGGAAATCCAGGTAGGGTAGGGTAGGGTAGGGTAGTACTTATTACCGGTGTTTTGTCGGTCCAAATGGGGTGTATTTGGGGGTACAACGATATCTACCAAGAGGTAGGGCTACAGTGCTTCGAGATTTCGGTTGGACATGGTGTTGCTACATGTAAAGAAGACGGAGGAGCTTCAGGTGAATGGAAGATATGCGAGGGAGTTGAGCGAAACATCCTGCCCTTTCACATTCATGGTCCTTACTTTCATCTTCATTCCTTGGTCCAACAGCTCTGTTATTACCCAGTCCCCTCTTGCCGGCACATGTATTCCTTGAATGCTAAATTTGGCGGGAAAAGAATGATGTTGGGACGACGGCCATTTGATGTATTCATCTCCCTCTCTTTGAATTGTGCATGCATGATATTGAAAGTTTCGATTCATTTTTCGATCGAAGCTTACACTGATTTCTGCATGTTGTCCCAGTTCCTATACGAAACGACAGTTTCGTCTTCGGTTGACGACACCGTGAAGGAATTAGTGGATATTTGGAACATGCAGATACAGGTTTTTGCAAGATGACATGTGAATGTTGTTTCTCACTATTTTGTGGAAGATTCGCAGGCTGATTGACTCCATGGAAGATTTAGCTAAGTATGGACCAGCCAAGAAACCGGACAAGCAGTGCATTGACACTTACCAGACCGATGATCATGGCAATCTGATCAACGACAAGATCCAGCGAGGACCATACTACTGTATGGACCCAACAGGCAGGAGAACGGGGGAGGCCCCAGAGCCGAAGCTTGCAGAAATCATCAACAGGGAAATCAGCAAGGCACGGCAGGTGGTGAACGCCAAGGCTCAGGTTGAGAAGAAACAAGTGGTTACGAAGCAGTTCTTTCAAGAGACTTTAGACAGTCTGCGAGGAGCCGTGATGATTGCGTTTCCTGAGGGGTTGCCTGAGTGGGACGATGTGGGGTACATCCTCAAAGGAGAGTGGGAGATTGATGGGAGGACGATGGAGGCGTTTGACGACAAGGCAGAACTGTGGTGGGCGGGGAAGCAGATGGAGCAGGGGCAAGACAAGAAACTCTCCGATTATCTTGGAAAGAATGACAAGACCAAGATTGTGTGCAAGCTGCAGAAGCCAGGAGGAGGAGCTCCGCAGCGGGAGCCCGCGATTGATGAGAGGACGCAGAAAGAGATGATGGCGTTCTATCACAAGAAACAGGAGGAGCTGAAGAAGCTGGAAGAGGACGACGAAGACAACCATTTGGGTTCTGTATGGGCTGATCCAAGGCAGCTGAAGCAGCATCTTCAAGGAACCGATGCTGTCCGCTGGAAGTAAGCCGTGCGTGTTGACAGTCACATCGGCTGGTGTATGTAGGAGAACATCGATGATGCCTTCAAGTTTGATTGAATCTAAGTTGAGCATTCATGTTGCTGTTCACGGTTTCAAGTTTCAATGATCACTGATGATGCCCCCGGGTCTCAGTAGCCGCACTGCGGCAGTCCGCCTCAGTGCAGAACGTAAGAAAACAATCCGCCTCAGTGCATGTGACTAGTCAAATTGATGGGCAGATAAAGGAAATAGTGACTGTGGGGACAACAGGAAGGGCAGCTGGACGAGCTTGCATGGCGACCAGGGAGTAGAGGATGTAGAGTTGACGATGAAGAGGATGAAGAGGAAAGAACACGATCAGCCAAGTAACCTCACATGATCGTGAGAGCGAGCATGCACACGAACGATGAGGAACGCGATGGGTTCAGTAGTGAGGAGGATCAATGCCGAACGTTCAAGAGGATCCGCAGAAGCTCGCAAGTGGAGCCTGCTGGTCGCGAACGAGGTAGAAGAAGGAGGGAGAAGTTCCTTGTGTACATGAGTGGGAGTAGCGAAGAAGGGGAGGAAGAGGAGGACGAGGAAGAGGAGGAGGAGGAGGAAGATGGGTTGATTGAAACAGAGGCTGGAAGGGATCAGGTAGGGGATGAACCGTGTGAGATCCAGAGCGATGGACAGCAGGCGATAATGGGCTGCTGCATGCGGGTGATGGTGTCTGAGGAGGAGATGGAGGAGACGTGCCGTCGCCTGACGTGCGTCCCTCGCTCCATGCGTGGCTTCTTGCATGAGCCTGTGGAGATGTTTGTGCGACTGGGGAGCAGGAAACTTCTCGTCCCTCGCTTCTTCGGCACCTCTACCTTCGGGTCTAAGGCATGGAGCAACCTTGAGGTAGAGGAAGATGATGCCGCATCTCGATGGAGCTTCAGCGGGCAGCTGAACTCCCTGCAAGACGAGGCTGTAGCAGCGTGCATGCGAGCATACCACAAGGACAGGGGAGGCATCCTGTCCCTGTATTGCGGGGCAGGAAAGACCGTTTGCGCCCTCTGGCTTGTGTCGCATATTCGCAGGAAGACGCTGATCATAGTGCACAAATCGTTCCTGTGCGATCAGTGGGCGGAGAGAGCGCTGAGGTTTGTTCCTCAGCTACGAGTGGGAGTGATCCGACAGGATCGGGTGGAGACAGAGGGGAAGGACATTGTGATCGCGATGCTGCAGAGCCTGGTGACGAGAGACTCGTACCCTCTCTCCGACTTCGATCACATCATCTTCGACGAGTGCCATGTATATTGCTCCTCCTCGCACCGTGCTGCTGCTCCGTTTCTGCTGCTGACGTTGCTTGTCATCCTCCTCCTTATCGTGCTCCCCCTTGCCCCATTTTCCCGGTTTTTTCCAATATCTTTCATGTTAACATTGCTATGATTGCTTAACTCGGTCTTTCTTCTGTCGACTTCGTCTCTCCTTCCTGTCCCCCCCCCCCCCCCCCTTCCTTCCCCCCGACTCTGACACTTCTTTCAGCATATCTGTGCTCGGGCTTTCAGTCGAGCTCTTTTCAAGATCGGATGCTCCCACAGGACAGGAGACGTTTGCGTACTCGGCCTCTCCGCAACTCCTCATCGCCGCGACGGGCTGACCCGCGTCCTCCACTGGTTCCTCGGGGAGACCGCGTACGAGGCATCATACAGCCCAGCAAGGGCTGAGGACGTCAGCGTCGTCTGCATCGGAGTGGAGAGCTCTAGCTCCAAGTGTGCTGGAGGCCTCGCGGAGATGGTCACGGCGTTGACGGAGATGCAGGAGAGGAACAGGGTGGTTGCCCGGGAAGTCCTGCAGGCCTGGAGAGAGGGGAGGAGGATTCTCCTTCTCTCCGATAGGAGAGCGCACCTCGAGACCCTCGAGCAGCTACTCGCCCATCAGGACAGGAGGACGGAGAGGGATGTTGGGTTCTACGTCGGAGGACGGACGTCTGCCGAGCTCAAGGCTGCCTCCTGCTGCCGCATCATCCTTGCAACCTACAGCATGTGCTCCGAGGGGCTTGACATCCCCAGCCTCAACACTCTCATCCTCGCTACTCCTCGTGCTGACATCGCGCAAAGTGTCGGGAGGATCCTCCGCTCGCAGGAGGAGGGAGCACGTGCTGTGCCACCCAAGATTGTGGACGTGCTTGACATTGGGGTGCACCAGAGGTTTGCAAAGATGGCGGAGGGGAGGAAGAAGTTCTACAGGAGCAGCGGGTTTGCAGTCTTGCAGTACTGTTGCGAGAGCGATGATGAGGTCGATGGCGGAGAAGAGGAGGAAGATAGAGGGCAAGAGGCAGAGGAGAAAGAGGAGAAGGACGAGGAGAGATTGTTTCCTATGCGCTCATTGCGGTATCGGGCATCAGAAACAAGAGCCAAGGTAGATATTTCAAACCTTGCAAGATCTCAAGTCAATCAAGACAAGGAAGTTGCGATACGGAAAAATCTTGCAGAAAGAGAAAAGCTAAGGGATGAAGAAAGTAACAACGAATCGAAGAGCAGGAAGCCTTGGATGAAGAAACTGGTAAGTCCGGTGCTCCTCCACCTAGGTTGCTTTCATTCTCTTCATCTCCCCCATGTTGGATCTTTCCGCTCCTTTTGCACTAATACATGGCTTGTACCAGACGCAGGATAGCGGACGGCAGGTGCAGGTGAAGACATGTCCGCAGTGTAGAGCTCAGTTCTCTGCCTTCTTCCAACATACTTGTACTTAAAAAGCGAAGGGTTGTCACATTTTCTTGTCAACATCAGATCCTGACTAAACGAGATGGAGAACTAAACGAGACGGAGAACGGGTGCGCAAAAATTCGTAGCCCGTGGATCTTCTCCTCTCACACGCTGACTGCACTGTTGGTTGCCGTGTCCACCTGAATACCGTATGAGGGCCCCTGTAGCATCTGCCGGCACGTACCTTGACAACATCAGCAGGTGACAACTTGGCCTGCGTCACATGCACCAGTCAAGTGGGAGGGAACGATGTAGACCCAGCCGTGTTACCTGCTCCACGTAGGTCTTCATCTCCTCGTCGGTCAAAAGGCATTCGTCCATGACTTTCTCGATCGACTTCTCACTGCGCAGCTCCATCACACAGATGCTCGTCCTCCACACTCGTTACGCACTGCATCCCGATCCCGATGAAGACGATCTCTTGCCGACGATCTCCCCATCTCTGGGACGGCTCCTCCCTCGAAAAGTCTTCAACAATCTTCTGTACTTCCTAGGAGGGGGTCAGCCAACAAGCGACTGTCGTCCTGCTCGCTCAACCTTGCTCGAATTGTCGCCACCGTCAGGCCACTTATCCAATGCCGTGGCCGCCCACCAGAGGCCCAGAGCTCGAAGTTCGAAGTAATGGCCGGCATGCGACCAATACTGCGCACTGCAGTGCAGACAAGTCACTCCACAAGTGATCAAGGAATCGACTGAGGAACCTGCGATGCTGGTTGGCTACCCACACAAAACCCTTGGACCTAATGATCTTCTTCATGCAGGAGCCGTCGGCGACGTCATCCCCATTCTTCGCTTCCTCCTTTGCATGAGGAAATTCCCACGAGTCCATCATCTTTCCAGTCTCTGGGTCTACCTTGACTGGCAGATAGAGGATCGCCTGCAGAACATTTTCATGAAACAATCACATCACAACTGTACAACTTTACCTTCATCAAACGCTGAGGATGAAATGGTCTTCTACGCGAGTAAACAAAGCTCGTGATTCCAAACTGAATAAGTTGATGAGAAACACCAGAAAGCGGGAATATCAGTCTACCTTCTTGGCCGCTGAGGTTGTTGTCTGTCGGATCGAATCTGAGTTTTCGCACTCCTTATGATCGCATGCCTTCCCATCGTGTGAGTGCCCATGCTCATGCCCGTGCCCGTGCCCGTGCCCATGCTCATGACCGCAATTGTCGTCGCAGGCATGTCCCTCGTCAGGTTCCTTTCGCTTTTTGTCTCGTAAGTGCTTGGCAGCAGCGACAGCATCACGGAGGTCATCTTCATCATCTGCCTTGGATACCCAGCTGGTTCCTTTTGGCGGTCCAAAAACCGTGTCTAGGGAAACCTTGCCCCACTCGCATGGAACAATCTGAGCTGAGGGATTGATGGTACCAACGACACCTGTCAAGTACTCCATGTTCTCAGGGTTCATCTTATCTTTCTTGTTGAGCACAATAAAATCAGCACATTCCACTTGTTCAACCAGAAGCTCGACAACTTTTCGATCACTCTCAACAACCTCCTCGCCTTCCTCAGCACAGAGGTCAGGCCTTCGGTTGATACTGTCGCCCGATTGATAAAGCTCGGTGAAGCTCGGCGAATCAACAACGGTTATCATGGTCTGCAGTTCCACCAATTTCATCGATTCGTTGCCAGCTTCTGCAGCCTCCACAAACTCTCGCCTGATATTCTTTGGTTCTGCAACACCTGGTTTTCACTTCATCAGCTCACGAGGCAACGTCATGGACAGAAGAAAAACCTGAGAGCTCGATGATGATCCTGTCGTACTTGATCCCTCTCCGCTTCGCAAGCCTCAAAAGCTGTGACATCCCCTCCAACAGCTCATCGCTCGCATTGCAGCACGCGCAACCGTTCTGGAGCTCCACACAATCCGCAAGGTCATCATCCCCCTTCCCGACTGTTCTCTCTCGGACAAGCTTTGAGTCGATGTTCACTTTGGCGACATCGTTGACGACTACTGCCACTTTCAGTCCTTCCTTATTCTCCAAAGCTTGCCGCAGCAGAGTCGTCTTTCCTGCTCCGAGAAATCCAGAGAGCAGCGTGATGGGTACGGCTGCCTGCGAAGATAAGAACGATTAGCCTCAGCAAATACATTTCTTGAATCTATGCATAAAGACATGCACAGCTGAAAGTTTGACACACATCATAATCACCTAACTGCATAGTAAGGATGAGACTACCATATTTCATCGCACGAAATTGAGCTATGGCGCATTTGGGTCATCATTAAGGGAATGGGTTCGGTAGAGAACAACGCCATCTGCATCTCATGCGTGCCAACATCTTGTACACATGGTCATCTCATGCGTGCCAACATCTTGTACACATGGTCATCTCAACGTTTTCTTCTTGTGGGCACTGCAGCGACCAATCATCTAAATCCACAATGAGAGTGGACAGAATCACGACCAGGAGGTATACGTAATCACAACCACGAGGCATACGCAATCACTCCCGAGCTTGGTGTTCCTCACCAGGGGTCTGCAAGGACTTTCCGCTGCAGCTTCTTCTTCCATCCATATCATTCGCTACTTCTGCTCCTCTCTCCCTAAACCCTACCCGCCCTCGCACCCTCCTGCCATTACCTGGTCTGCCATGTTTGCGCGGCCACCTGTCCTGGGGGCAATTAAAAGTTTCAAGGGGGGAAAAGATTTTCAAGCAAAAATTTATGGGTAGGAGAAGTGTAACGGTTACGGTTTCGCCACCCGCCTCGGAGTCCCTCACGTGCGGTATGCCGTCGCAAAGTCGCAGACAACGATGGAGGAGAGGAGGAAGAAGAGATGAACATGGAAGATTCGTGCGTGTTTTGGACTAAGAAACATGATCGTTACGCTATCAGCAGTAGATGTTATGCGATTCCATTCTTAGTTGTGTTGTCTGTTGCAAGTGAGTCGAAGGGCTCGTTTCTGAACATTCGAGTTCCACTTGGATTTCGCTTCGCATTATCCCCCATCTTTGATAAAGTTTGACATCGTTTTGCAGTTTTCAGCGTCTTACCACAAATCTGCATCTACTAATACTATAATCTCTTCCCCTCCAAGAACTCAGTAGTAGCTCAAAAATGTCCAATGATGGGCCAATTATTGAGTATTGCTCCAGAATTTTTCAGGTAAGTCTACCAAACAATGGGTTGGTTGAACTATGATTTCTTGTCCCATCTATATGAAAATCCCATTCTCGCATTGATGTTTTCAAAAATCGATCAAGAATCCATCTGACATGATTCTTCAAAGATCCGAAAAACGTGTTGGTCGATGCTTGAAGACCGCGGATTCAAAGTTACAAATGAGAACAAGTCGGAGACAATCGTCCAATTTAAGGAAACATGTACAGATCGGGGACACATCCTTGACCCGGGACTTCTCACAATGCGCTCGCATAGAGTAAGTGGTGTGTTGAGGAATTTGCGATGTTGAAAATGTTACTCTCTGTTGCATTTTTTTGATATCCAACTTAGATATTGCGCTCTGTTCTTGGCCGTTTTTCTTTGAAATACAAGTGCCCTGACTTGTTTTCAAGGTGGAAAATGAGAAACAGAGGATCATGGTGCTGTTCTGTGGGAGAAAAGACAAGTTTGTGACAGATGATGCAAAGTATGTCTTCTCCTGCATCGATGACGAATGGAAAAACACACAGGCAGAATCTCTGACTGCGGTTGTTATCATCCACAAGAATCTAACTTCATATGCCAAGAGATTTCTTGTCACAGAGCATCAGAAGCGGTATCACGGGGGAGGGGAGGGGCCTCGTATGAAGATCGAGTTGAACATCTTCTTTGAAGTTGAGCTGGTAGTGAACATCACAGAGCACGAAATGGTGCCCAAGCATAGGATCATGTCAGGGGTGGAGAAAAAGAAGCTTCTACAGCGCTACAAAGTGAATGATGACCAGCTTCCTCGAATCCTCATCAGTGACCCTGTCGCCAAGTATCTTGGACTAAGGCGTGGAAATGTTGTTGAGATTACAAGAGACTCTGACACTGCTGGGCGATATGTCACTTACAGGATCTGCCTGTGACCTCTTCGCTGGATAATAAAACTACTGATTTAGCAAGTCCCATTGGGCCACGGAACGGTGCGTGATTCAAGTTCAGCGACGGTGGAATGGTCACCCCGGGCCCCACCGTGGCACCGTACCGTCACAGCCTGTGGCCCGCACTGTCGGTCTAATCACAGTGATTGAACCTGGCAGTGGCGGGCCTGGGACTCGGGATAAGCTCACACGAGTCAGACTTTGAATGTACTAGCCGCAAATGGCGGCCCGGCAGCCAGGCCCAGTGACAGTGCCGCGGGCGGCGGCGGGCCGCGCGGCAATCATGCGATATCATGCGATGGGGCGCGCCGCTCCGACGGACTCCGCCGTGACTCACTGTCCGTCGGCCAGTGACCTTCACGGATCGAGCAGTACTGAGTGGAGCAACGGGCCGTCACGGAGGCAGGGACTCTCCCGGGCAGTGTTGTCCGGCACCGGGTCACCGGGCGGGCCGATCTGATGATCATGATCGGCGCGGCCCGTCTACCGTATGACTGTGACAGGCTCGGGCCCTTGACGGGAGTCATGGGCCACCGGGTGAAAGCCCAAGAAGAACGTCTACGACTGGCTTATCGATATCCGATTGCTTACAAGCATCGGTGTGACCTGCACAAAATCTAGTAAGAAGTTCATGTCACGTCTTCCTAAACTTGATCGAGACGCCTCGAGTTTCACAGTGATTACCCTCGTCACGAGGACACTCTTAGCCTCCCCCCTCCCCCTCCGCTAAATGAGTTGTAAAGAAGCTCAAATCCAATACTTCATTTTAAAATGGAACATGTATGAATCTTCTCCGACCATCTCCGTCATCTAGGTCATATCAGATCCTAGGGTCCTAGAAGGCGTTAAGGGAGTCAGTAGTGGATAGACTTGCTGACAATCGGCTTCCGTGTGACTGGTGTCAGCAATAAAAGTATAGCTCGCTTAAAAAGTTTCACACCCCTTCATTCCTCTGACTGGAGAAGGGTAGTCTTCAAAAACGATACGGGAAACGGAGTCCCGTGTGATCTTTTTACCACAGCGATAATCTAGAAGGTCACGAGGCAACGGTCTCAGACTGTCTTCTGCCCCCTATATATACTTGCGATGGGAACATTGCTTCGCACGAATCCACGGGTCCACATTACTTCTCATCATCTCCTTCAATAGCTCGTCACACGCAATGCAAAACCATGTTGTCACAGTAAAGGGTCGAACCAAGCTTGCCAGAGAGACAGGTATCGGCAGGGTAAATCTCGACCTCAATGCACTCGAACAACTCTTCAACTATCGTCAGGAAGACGCTGCTGCCATGCTGGTACATTCGATCATTGCAGTTGATTTCTCGATTTCTCACAACCTTTCTCTAGGGCATTTCGATGACAAGCTTGAAGATTGCATGCCGTCGCCTGGGCGTTAGCAGATGGCCTTATTCTAGATCCCGCCAGACTGACGTCGAAATTGATCCTTCTGTCGTCGAACGAAGAGGTTCCAACTCCGCAAGTCCAGTCTCCCAATCAGCAAGCTCTGCTGTTTCTCAGCTTCCTCTGTTTGATGGGTCTGCCTCCTCATCCAGACAAGTTGAACAGATTCATGCCGAAGTCAGCTCTCCGCAGTCACTCGCTGATGACGATGACGATGACTCGGAAACGGCTCACCGTCCTGAGGCAGAGGACCAGAGTTGTTCCTCGGCAAGAGAGGAAGAGAATTCTGAAGAAGGAATGAGCTCGATCGACAAGCAGTGGCTTGATTGGTTCATCCAGAGTGATGACCAAAGTCCTGTCTTCGCAGACTCCTGTCATGTTCCAGAGTTTGGTTTGCCACAGGTTGAATTTCTTGGATATTAGGATCAAAAGTTTTGAAGTATCGTTTATTGTAATATAGATTTGTATCTTTCAATGATGCTTCATATCACATCAGTCCATGCAGTTATGCAAGGAAGTTACCTGATACATTTTGGAGAAACCGCAGATTAACTTGTAAGCGATGAAGAAGAAGAATTGTTGGGTTTTTTAAGTTTGTGATGAGTTCACTATTGTTGGTGCTTAGAGCTTTGTTTGGCCCATCCTACCAAACCTCCTTGAGATGCTTGAGATGCTTCTCTGGGGGACTTATGATGTCATTAATTCCAAAAATCAACTAAGTGCACACCTTCAACGGTTCTGTGTCCAAACAGATGTTTCATCACAAAAAAAAAATGATCGAAGCTTGGACAATCGATGCATGGAATGTTCCACACTGGGATCAAATACTAGAATCAAACACTAGAAAAAAAACTAAGGTAAATCCATGCTCTCTTCTCTGTGAAGGGAAATCATTGTGATAGTCTTATTCCAGCATACGGATTGTATCTAGATGTGACTTTGCAGTATGCTCCCAAATCGAGATCAGTATAATGATTTTTTTTGCACCTATGCTAGTTTCAGGATCGAATCCTGCTCTTACTTCTCGAAACGACAAGAATGATCCAGGATAGCAGAGTTAAGACTTCAAGTCGTATTCAATACATGTCAAATTAGTCAACCTACCGTAAATCTCGACCTAGGACAACAAGAGATCATCTTTGAGCAGCTGGCACTAATACACTGGAAGTCCACCATTGATGTTAATTCATCCAAGCTATTGTGTCCATTGGAAACCCAGTCCTTTGGGAGAGCAGCTACCGTGATTTCAAACTTGTTGATGGAAAGACTCTCTGGTCAGGAGAGCTTCAACCGGTCTGGCGATCGATAGCACTTATGCCCTCTCGCACTATGCTCGAACAACATGCTTGTGTCGGAACCGGGGAAAAAGTTGTGAGAGTGACTCACCAGTGATGATATCATCTTTTTCATGAATTCCAGAGGCTCTAACTAATCCACAACCGGGGGACTGAAAACCCACCCCACCCTGCCTCAAAATTGCAAAGAGATGGGAGAATGGAGGGGATCACCTCTTAAAAAGTTTGGGGAGGACTGTCCGATCGGGGAAAAAAACCACCCCACCCTGCCTCAAAATTGCAAAGAGATGGGAGAAAGGAGGGGATCATCTCTCAAAAGTTTGGGGAGGACTGTCGGACATCAAACGTCCTTATGTCAAGGCACTTTCCTCGACCTTCGTAGTCCCCCCCCCTCCTCCAGTTTTCCCTTTCCCTCCAGTCCTTGTTGTCGATCCTACAACACAAGCAGCATCTCACTGAAACCCCCTTGCGATCAATGACACCCTTGATATACGTTTGTGCCAGCAACATCGGCCTCTTTGAGTCTGCCGATGCTGGCAACCAGAAGTCAGTGTTGGACCTGCGCACCAAGGAGCCCTTTCCTCTTCAAGATTACAGTTCAATGAAGCACGGCGATAGTGAATGCACTCGTAGATTTGCTGTGATGGCGGCAAAGGCGATTCTCCGGGAAGTCCCGGAGGTCGCGTTTGCCGATAGCCCTCCTCGCTTCGTAGTTTGCTTCAGAGGCCTCCCAATCGCCAGCACGTACCTCTCTTCCTACACTGTCGAGGAGATCAACAAAGCGCGGAGAGGCAAGGGGGTGACAGGCGATGCTGATTTGCTCGTGGTGGACCGAAGCAGCGCCAACTTCGGGAAAGACTATGCTACCCGCAGCCTTACTGAAAGGGAGGCTACCCACAAGGCCATGACGTACACAGTTGCCGAGGAGGCTGTCTTTCAACGGAACTTGATATTCCTCGATGATGTTCGCATCACAGGCGCTACCGACCGCGCCATCGAGAGGATGTTGCTGCCGATGCGACCTAAGTGCCTGGTCATCGCCCACATTGCTGTGTTCGATCAAGATCAGGCCCTGAGCAACCCTGCTGTCGAGTCGATGCTCAACTCTTCTGTAATCAACGGCGTGGAGGACATCGCCACCTTGGTCGAGTCAGGGCGTTTCGACCTCGGTGGCCGTGCTCTGAGGATGGTGCTTCAAGATCCTGAGGCTCTGACAGCCTGCCTGTCTCGCTTCCCCCTGGTATGGTTGAGAAGGTTCATTGCTGCCGCCGACTTGATAGGCGAGGAGTTCACGGAACAGTTCAGAGAGGGGCTACAAGTGTTGAGAGCAGCGATCAAGAGAAGGGAGGGCCACTACGAAGCGAGCCAAACTGGAGCATTTCAGCCCTCCGCAGCGATCATGCTAGGACGTACGAATCTACAGGGTCAGTCCGTTCTGCAGGGAACAGTATGTACCGAGATTTGACGGCGTGACCGAGTCCGAGTCGGGCAATGCCACGGCCACTGTGTTGAATAATAAGGGAGTTTATTCCGCTGGGCTATTTAATCCATTTTTCCGAGCTCATACTTCAGGGTAGCAGCAACTGGAATGCTCAAGAAAGTTGAAGGAACCAAGAAAAGTAGAGCCGGTTGTCCTGCTCCAGAGTTGAAAGCTTCGCACAAGAAACATCCCACGGAACATCTTGTTAGGGACGATGAATAAATTGTGTAGCTAGATACCACACAACTCAACCCCCGAGAGATGCTTGAAGGTACCAGTTGCTCTTCTGTTGTAGAACTACTTGTCGTGCAAATCATCCAATCTCTCATGATTCCTCCCACCCTGCATGGCGATCTTGCCCTCGCCCGGAGAAGTTGCTTCCGATTCACTTGTTTTGTCTTTGTCAAATCTTGCTGCCCATCCGGTCAATCTTATATCTACCGAGAAGACAGCGTCTGCTAGTCCAAGTGTCCGTTTGCTTTCCATCAATCACAACTTCGAGCAGGCCTGGCTGCCATGACGATCCCGAGAGCTTGGCTCTAGCTTATCAAAGTCTCACTGCCAAGATTCAGTATGCAACAAAACTTACCCACAGACTCCATTACAGAGGCTGCTGGTTCAGCTGAAGACCCCGAAAAGGTCATACGCCACCTTCATTCCAGTCATGTGGTACAGAGATCGCGCGGAATGAGTGAAGGAATCAATTCTCCAAGTGCAGCGACAGTGACGGGAAGCGACGCGAACCGAACTGAACGCGCAGGCGACACTAGAAGGTGCCAGGAATGCGAACAGGACCCCAGCAGTGCTCAAGACGAGAGGGATTTGGTTCGATACGCTAGTCTTTCGGCCATCCTCATTGCCTTTCGCCTGAGCTCCCAGCAAGGAGAGAAAGTTCCGTACCTCCACTTGAAAGAAAAGGGTGCACACCGCAAAATCACAAAATCCAGACTGCAGGTAAACTGTAAGAAACAACGCTGCACCAGGCAAGATGACAAACCAGCACGGGCAAGACATCCAGCGATCTTGATGGCTATACAACTGTTGATGATATACGTTTGTGAGACAATGAGGAGTAATGTGGACAGTTGATTTCTCGATTTCTCACAACCTTTCTCTAGGGCATTTCGATGACAAGCTTGAAGATTGCATGCCGTCGCCTGGGCGTTAGCAGATGGCCTTATTCTAGATCCCGCCAGACTGACGTCGAAATTGATCCTTCTATCGTCGAACGAAGAGGTTCCAACTCCTCAAGTCCAGTCTCCCAATCAGCAAGCTCTGCTGTTTCTCAGCTTCCTCTGTTTGATGGGTCTGCCTCCTCATCCAGACAAGTTGAACAGATTCACGCCGAAGTCAGCTCTCCGCAGTCACTCGCTGAGGACGATGACGATGACTCGGAAACGGCTCACCGTCCTGAGGCAGAGGACCAGAGTTGTTCCTCGGCAAGAGAGGAAGAGAATTCTGAAGAAGGAATGAGCTCGATCGACAAGCAGTGGCTTGATTGGTTCATCCAGAGTGATGACCAAAGTCCTGTCTTTGCAGACTCCTGTCATGTTCCAGAGTTTGGTTTGCCACAGGTTGAATTTCTTGGATATTAGGACCAAAAGTTTTGAAGTATCGTTTATTGTAATATAGATTTGTATCTTTCAATGATGCTTCATATCACATCAGTCCATGCAGTTATGCAAGGAAGTTATCTGAAACATTGCGGGGAAAGTACAGATTAATTCGTGAGCGTTGAAGCAGAAGAATGCATTTATATTTTTTGTTTGTGATGAGTTCACTATTGTTGGTGCTTAGAGCTTTGTTAGGCTTATCCTACCAAACCTCCTTGGGATGCTCGAAACTCATCTGATACTCTTCTGGGAGATTTAGGATGTCATTTATTCAAAAATTCAACTAAGTGCACACCTTCAACAGTTCTGTGTCCTAACAGATGTTTCATCACAAAAAAAAAATGATCGAAGCTTGGACAATCGATGCATGGAATGTTCCACACTGGGATCAAGTACTAAAAAACTGAGGTAAATCTCTGCTTTCTTTTTCGTGAAGCGAAAGATCATTAACTTGTTACGATCATATCATTGTGATAGTCTTATGCCAGCATACGGATTGTATCTAGATGTGACTTTGCAGTATGCTCCCAAATCGAGATCGGTATAATGATTTTTTTTTGCATCTATGCTAGTTTCAGGATCGAATCCTGCTCTTACTTCTCGAAACGACAAGAATGATGCAAGGATAGCAGAGTTAAGACTTCAAGTCGTATTCAATACATGTCAAATTAGTCAGCCTACTGCATTTCTCGACCCAGGTCAACAAAGGATCATCTTTGAGCAGCTGGCACTAATACACTGGAAGTCCACCATTGATGTTAATTCATCCAAGCTATTGTGTCCATTGGAAACCCAGTCCTTTGGGAGAGCAGCTACCATGATTTCAAACTTGTTGATGGAAAGAATCTCTGGTCAGGAGAGCTTGAACCAGTCGGCAATCGATTCCTCGCATGCCCTCGCACTATGCTCGAACAACATGCTTGTGTCAGAACCGGAAAAAAGTTGTGAGAGTTGTGGTATCACTTTCGTACAAGAGTTGTACCAGGATTTTTTTACATTTAATTTAACAGACCTGACAGTTTGTAAAATTATTTGTGTGCTGTACTTTTGATTATATAACAGTTCTTGGTCGTTCGACAAGGCGCCAGAGAAGATTGGCGACAGCAATAGTATCAATATTGCAGCGATTGGTGTTAAAAATATTTTGACAGCCCCGTATTTAATTTTTGTACCTAGAGTTTCTGTAAATAGTTTTTATATAATAAAACCCTGGCCTCCCAGCCCCGCCATTTTTTCAAATAAAACTCTCTATTTCTTACGGTCCACCCCACCAGCCCGTCATCGACACCAGAAATCATGGGTACCACCCCTACTCACTACTTGCTTGCTTTGCGGCATACAAAATCCCTGTGGTCTCATAGGGTACCCCTACCCATCCCCAGGTCAGTTTTGACTGCAACCGGGTCCAAATCTTGTCTACCCCACTCTTCTACTCTGTTGCAGGTAATAAGTATAGAAGGGGTGGGTAGGGATGAGTTGTGGTAAGCAAGGTGAAGCTGGCAAAGGGTAGGAAAAAGGGTAATATGGAGGGTGTCGATGGGGAGTAGGGGGTGTGCTGCGGGAAAAATGGGGAGGGGTGCTATCAATTACATTAGGGGGTGGGTGGGTTCAAGTCCAGGGTAGGGTGCGAGGAGGGATAAGGGGGTACCAAAGAACGAAACCTTTGTGCCCTTGCATGGCGACTGCTTGAGATCGAGAACGAGTTGACAATCAGGAGAAAGAGGAAAGTAAATAGCGAATTTAGGCCATGATGCATTCCGACTCCAACAGAGTCGTTTTTGTTTGCCTGCCCCCAATTCTGTCAGCTTTCATGCGGTTTAAGCTTTGATTCCGCTGTGACTTGCCGTTTGTTCGAACACATAAAAGTAAGGACGAGAACTTTATGAAAGACAGCAGTGTCTACAGAAATGTGCATAGAACAAATGGTTTTGATTTGAGAACTTGTAATGTTTGCCTTGATCTTTTTTGGGGGATGGGGGTGGGGGGCTTGAAGACGTTCTTGGAAATCTTGTCACGTTACTCACGACCTTCTTTCGCAGGATGAGATCTCGAACACTCTTTTCGGTCATCATTGTTCTGATGTGTGCAGTAGAAGTAGCACCTTTTGTTACAGTGACATCCATGCACAAACATGTCTGCCTCCGTCGAACCGGTTGCAACACAACACCTTTACACCATCAGCAAAGTCTTTCAGCAACAACTAAGCCAAACTTGGCTCTTAGAATGCAGGATAGCAAAGATGAAGAATCACCACAAAACAAATTTTCTGAATTTGTGAACAGCGCTGGTAAAGAGGTGGCTAAAGTCACAGATATGGCGAAGAAGAAAGTGTCCGACGATGTCTCGTGGGTTGGAGATAGGGCCAAGGAGACTGTTTCCAAGTTCAATGAAGAAGTGACCAAGGAAAGGGCAGCAGCTGAAGAAATGTTTGCTAGATTTGATCAGTTTATGAACGGTGCAAAGAAAAAGTTTGAACAACATAAAAAAGGCCAACAGCCCGAAGAAAAATCTGTGCAGGAAGCTGAAAAGGAAGTTGAAAGCAAAGAAAGAATGCAAAAATGATGATCAGCATGGCAGCAAGTCGGATCTACGGGGCTGTACCATGATGTGTATGATAATAACGAGGCCGTGTCGAACATGACGCCAATCAAAACTTCAAAGGACGAAGTTTGAAAGTTTGGAATGAAGTATCTGCATAAAGTATAGTTTATGGCATTCACATACATTTTTTCATACCCCAAACAAACTCAAGGTTGCAAGAAAAAGTTTCACTGTATGGTGTTTACATTACACAGTAGGTGTGAAAAGCTTCAGAACTGGGGACGACCATGCCCAACAGATCTTCCGCATCAATGAGAAACAAGCCCCCAACGATCGAGGTACCCAGGGAGAAAGAAATCCCAAGAAGCTGTCTAGGAACGGCCCAAAAAGACTCGCCACGCCCAGAAGTTCGATCACAAGACCCAGGAGTACAATCCGTTTCCACATTAATGTAACTCCGACAAACATTACTAGCGATCCAAATCGTCGGCTTTTACAGAATAGGAAACGACGGACAGCCCTCGGACCAGCTACGAGAATAGAACCAAGAAAAATCAGAATGTTCCCCGTGAGTAACCCTGAGCGATTAAGAAAGCAGCCAACCACAGGGATAGGCATCAGACAGAAGATTACCATGCATGAACCAAATCCAAGACACGCGTGCCCAAACTCCTTCCGCGATTGAACTGGAAAATTCTCCTCGATCCATGATTCCACGGGGGTAGACAAAAATCGAGGGCCGTCGGAAACGCTAGGTTCAGTTGTACTGCCCCCCCTCAGTCGTGCCATCCTTCTATGTTGAACTTGGGCCATATTCGAAGAACGCGGTATACTTGCTGCACCTCTGTTGTGTACAATGCCTTCTATCACATTGAGACTCGATAATAGAAGACAAACCAGGATAGATAATCTGTAAGATGTGATCACCGCATCTCCGCACCTTGACATCCTGCAGGTATTTGAGGGAGGCGGTACCAACAATTAGGATTTGAGACTCAGAGCAAGGATAATTCTCAAAAGCCAGTGATCTAGCTAGTTTGCTGCTTACTATTCCGAATCAGCAAGGTCACGATGAAGCCTGTCCGTCACAATGTCATCTCAAGCTAGTTCCTTGTTGAAGCCCCGCTTCTCCCGCCATCGAAGCCCCTCCAGTTCTTATTAGTTGAGCTAACCCAGTTTATTTGGAACTCTCGGTGGCTCGAGCAATAATTTTCACGACCCTTTTGAATTAGGCTGATGGAGCCGGTGGTTCTTTCCTTCTCATGACCCGTCCAAATACCGCAGAAGCCACTGAAAATGATGGGTACTTTAGTTCGTTCTAGATTTCGAAGCCTGGTGGGGTGTTTTCAGCTTTTCATCCTCCTGCAGGTGAAAAATGAATATGGTGGTTTGAAAAGAGCATGTCCAAATTTAAAAGAAGGTCTCGAAATTATTTGTACTAAGGTTGGTAGTTGAGAGACTACCCCGTATAAGAGCCTGCTCGGGAGGGGTATGTGGACAGGAACTGGAGGCCAAGAATCGAGATGCGACTTGATAGGAGGGGTGGTGAAGGTATAAGGGGTGGCTAGAAAGTCTAGGGTAGGGGTACCGTGTTCCAGCGGGACAATCAACTCAGAGCCAAGTTCACAGACGGGGTGGGGTATGTAAAGGTGTGCCAAGGAAAGGCTGGCTACAGGGTAGGTACGAGTGATTTCAACCTCAGTTCATAATGATGTGTCTTTATTTCAAATTTGTAGATTTACTCGAAATGTTCGAAGTGTTCTGATACCAAATTTGTCACTTGATTGGTTGATGCAGGGTGGGGTAGGGGTAGAGGTGCGGATCCCGAGGGAGAGGCGGTCGGAATGCTGAGCAAGACTCTAGTGCTCGCGTCATGCACAGGTGAAGTTCACGGAGGAAGGGGAGGAAGGGGAGGAAGGGGAGGAAGGGGAGGAAGGGGAGGAAGGGGAGGAAGGGGAGGAAGGGAAGGAAGGGGAGGAAGGGGAGGAAGGGGAGGAAGGGGAGGAAGGGGAGGAAGGGGAGGAAGGGGAGGAAGGGAAGGAAGGGGAGGAAGGGGAGGAAGGGGAGGAAGGGAAGAATGTAGAGAAACCTTATGTGAACAAAACGGCGAGATCAACCAATGAGGGATACAGTAGAGCATACAACATGTCAGCTAGAAGTAGAGAACTACAGAGTCCCGAAAGGTACAGAGGACGGTCTGTTTAAACGAAAGACCCGCGCTGGAAGAAAATCGCAAACATGAATTGTGTCTGCTGGTATTCGTGGAGCTGAAATGTTGGAGCAGCGTGCTATGCATTCAGTTCATCATTGCCTCTTGGCCGCTCTACAGCTCCCAGACATGCCAGGTAAGAATCCATCGCATGCTTCCCGTGCGCGTTGTTTCTTCCTCTCCAATCTACCTCTCTGTCCCAAATTGAATCATACTGCAATCAAACAGAGCCATGGCTAGTCCAGCCTTCTCAGCAAGGACTCTTGGAGCAATGTCGAGTGGTAGCTCGATTTCTGGCATGTGGTTTTGCCCGTGACGGTCAAATTGTTAGACAACGTTCCATTGGCGAAAAGGAATGCGCTGAAGGCTAACGAAAGGCAATGGGGTATCGTTGCACCGCTTACGGTAATCTCTTTGCTCTGTTGCTGCGATTCTTGCTCTTTTTGCCCTTCCACATTCTCCAAAGTGATCCCTGACGGTGTATACAAAGGCAACATCGTCAGACTCCAGTGGAGACGGTTCTACTCAAAATCTTCCTTCTATGATGGTGAAGCAGGTACATATCTCTGCATATCTTGCATTTTTCTGCATTTTTCTTGTTGCCGGGTGTGGTGTGGAGGGAACAGTGTCCAAATGCTGCGCCTGACCCATGGTCGTCTCCAGGTGTCGAAACTGCTGGACAGCGTTCCATCTGTGGCCGTTCTGATTCTGTGAGGCACTTGCGATCAATCTGAATTGCTGATTGCATGGAAACAGTCTGAACACGCTGACAATCAAAGTCTTCAAGAAATTTGGCGTCACTGTTATCCCGCCTCCTCTTTTTGGGATGTTCTCACTCTTCGCCTTTCTCCTGGCCATTCCCGAGACAGCTGCCTCCAAGGTATGTGCAGATCCAGAATTTCCTATCCATCTTTGAGACGTTGCGCCCAGGTTGTGAAGTTTTTCAATCCCGGTGTCACGCTCCTCAATCGTTTTCTCCCTCTCTTCTACACTCCCGCTCTTGTCGTTTTGCCCCTTCCAGGTTTGTAATGCGTCAATGCTTTTTCGCATGACATCTGTATTTTGATTTCTTCTGCAACTAGCGAGTACTGTCACTGGGGCCGACGCTGCCAAGATGCTTGCGGGTACTGCAAATCATTATTCTCTTTGATCCTCAAACCAAACCATTGCACAATACTCAATCCCATCTTTTAGTAGTTGTCCAGTATATCACCGATATTAGATTGGTCTCTTGCGACTCTTTTGTCACATCAGATTCTTGAGGACTACTTTTATCCTCCTGACAGTTGATTCCAGCCATTGTATGCGTGATCTTTGCAAGCTATTCATCGACAGCGTTCGTCACCACTGGACTTCAATCTCTGGCAAAAGGAGGTAGTATTGCAGCATGAACGCTTGTTTGATCGTGATCATGGTGAGCAGGTGAGGCAGAGCTGGAGACGTCTGCGCCAAAGACGTTTTCGCCCTTCCTTGAGAGGCTCTGGGCTGTGGCGACGGCCGTCACCTTCGCTGGCGCTGTTGCCTCTCCTACTACCCTCCCAATCTTCATGTTTTCTGCCACTTTGTTCGCTTTCATTGCTGGGAACCGCTTGTCCTACGTGCTCCCCAAGGCCGTCAACAACTCCTGGCATTACCTCATGACAGCCTTTGTACTTGTCAACGCAATGTTCGCTGTCTACGGCGCAGTCGTGGGTAAGGCACAATTCGACCTTTTGCGCGCATACCTAATGCCTGGAGCTGGGATCTTTGCTGCTCCTGGAAACATCATTATGTACTTCCTTGCCCCAGCGATCTGGTCTTTTGCCTTCGGACTCTACGGCAGAAGGAAGACTCTCTTTCCTAATTGGTTGCCAATCATCGGAGGAAGCTTCTGGTCCGCGTTTTCTGGGGTTTTTATGATTGCTTTCTTCAGCAAGCTCTTCGGAGCATCTGAGATCCTCCGACTCGCCGTCCTCCCTCGCGGCACAGCTGCTCTTGCTGTCATTCAGGCCGGATACATCGGAGCAAGCACAGCCTTCGTGACAGCGGCGACCGTGATCACGGGCATGCTGGGCGCAAACTTCGGCAAGACCATCTTGGATGGGCTCAAGGTCAAGTCCAGCTGTGCCAGAGGAGTTGCGACAGGAGGAGCCGCCTTCACGCTTGGAACTGCTGCTCTTGCTAAGGACGATCCATCCGCCTTCCCCTTCGGAGCCCTCGGCATGGCGCTGATGAGCACATGGGCCACCTTGCTGTACACTGTGACACCTGTGAGGAACGCAATCATGTCTACTGCCGGCTTGACTCCTCCGGGCATTGAGCAGTCGGCACAGAGGACTGTGAAGAAGGCGGCTCCTGCTCCCAAGAAGACCATCGCCTTCACTGCCGGGCCGGACGTGAAGGTTCAACGGGAGATGTAAGAGTGCCAGTGCAGGCGCTCGCCTGACAGCTGTGGCGAGTGACTCACGGCATGGCGTGCGACTGTGTGGGACTGTGGAGGATACGCAATCGTGTTCAGGTTGATCTGGTGGAACGGCAGCCGTTGCTATCACGATGCTGTGTTGAAGGAGGAGGCGGCTGACGACGGCGGCGGGATAAAATCTGGAACTTTGAATTGTATGTTTTTTGTTGGGCTGCACTTGCCAGAATCTTTGAGAAAGATGGACTACAAAACTCAAGGACTGGCGGCGCTCAGTTCCTTGCTCCCGGTCGCAGACAGCTGGGGGGTGCATTTGCTCAGCGTTGGCGCGCCGTCATCATGGTTGTCCCGGTGCAAGCGTCTCCCGTTCGCTGATGTCACAGTCCATGCAGCGTGTCGAACATGCCGCTCGTGAGACTGACGGTGCCAGCCGCCGGGCTGAGCCAGGAAGCCCGACCGTTCAGCCCGCGCCGATCCAAGGAAAGCAGCGCCGCTCAGCAGTGTGAGGCAGCCGTCCGACTGACGCCCTGCGCCAAGTTGCTTACCGTACTGCGAGTGACTGAGAGCCTGGCTGCCGTGCCTCAGGCTGGGTCAGTGATGCCAGGGTAGTGGGTGACCAGCCTACTCCGCCGGGACTCGTCATCGGATCCATGGCATGATGATTTAAACTTGTAATGAAGCGCCAATACTACCGTGTTTCGGAACCCGGCGGCGGGGTTGAAGCCTTGAACATCCGGGCCGCCGTTCGCTGAGCCTCCGATCGGACCGTCTCACAGACGGTCCGATCACGGCCGGCGCGGCCGGGGGGCCGCACCGCCGTGCGGGGCCCGGCGCCGGCCGCCGCGCCGGGCCGCTCAGCCACTGGCAATCCGATCGGCGGGCGGGCTGGCACTGCTCGCCGCCGCCCGGCCGGGCGGCCGGCGGACGCCGGACCCGGCGTCGGGTCCGGCGGGGGCCCTCGGTCAGCGGGGCCCGCCGCGGCGTCCGCCGCATAGCGTTGCCGTTCCGTATCCTTGTCGGATCAGTCAACCAGGGTGGTTCTCGTAGTAGTTTTAGTCAAATTAAAGCGGCAAGAGAAAATTGAGCTAAAAATGTTGGCTCCGTCAATTTATGTACCTTTTTCCTTGCCAGGGCTGCCGGGCCATCCAAGACGAGAAGGGCAATGTTGAGCAAAACCTTCCTCTATTTGATATGAATAGGCGTGTATAGTTGACTAAATAATCATGAGGTGGCTCGGGGTAGGTATTCAAATGATTTGAATCTTTCCAACGGCCTCCAGCCCGTGTTGAGGGGTAGGGGGTAGTGCAAACTTCTCGTATCAATCTAAAACACTTGTAAACGACCTCACACTTGCCCTTCCCTATCCCACTACTCCCGATGTACTCAGGGACTGTTTGCTCAGCTGCTGAGCGCAGTCAAGGACCATGGCCCCTCAATGTTAACTCCTGAAAGTGCCAGGCAAGTACTGAGATCAAACAGCTCAATTCTTGGCTGAGAATCACACCTATAGTAGGTTGAATGTGAAAGGTATGCATCGAAATTTGCACTTGCGTACCAAAGCACTCATCAGCTATAGGTGCTGGTTATTCACTTCCAGAAGAAGGGAAACATGAAGGGAACCGATCAGAGAAGCAACCTTCGAAGACCTAAAGGAAATTCGATTCTCCTTGTTATGTTGACGCCCTAGCTTCCTTTACCTGAATGCTTTGTCGGTTGAATATGAAACATATTTCAAGAGACTTCCTGTTGCTTTGCCATGATTGCGTTTTTTGAGGCTTCTCCCAACCTATTGTAATATGGCGGTGTCATTTGTGAGGAGGTGAGGAGTTTGAGAGGCTGGGGGAAGGAGAGGGGAGGGGTTGGAAGGGAAATGGACGCCTGGGAGGCCAGGCTAGTTGATATGCCTGATCGCTGCGAGAGGAGATGCCGGAGGAGAGACTGTTTACTCAAGACCACTAGCGAGGAAGGCAGGAGGGCGAGGAGGACATGAGAGGAGAGGAAGGAGAAAGCTACGGGTAGAGACGGTTTACTTGACAGCACTAATGAGGAAGGGATGCTTCAGAGCCTCCAGTGCCGTAATCCTCGTGCGGGGATCGATGTCGAGGCAGCAGTTGAGGAAGTCCCAGATCGCATGTTTCTCATCCACCTCCAGCCAGTCCTTGCATCCCGCATGCGCGCCCAGGGAGCTTGACAAGGTCCGCCATGTTTGCTTGAAACCGCGGGCATAGCTGAGATGCAGTTCCAATGGTGGAATCTGAATGACATCAAGTTAGCAACCTCAGGCCTCCCTCCTCCATATCACCCTCATCCTCATCCTCTTGATACAACAACGCCGACGACAACAATTTTACCTTAACGTCGAGCTTGAAATCTTCGATAACATCTCTGATCTTATCTCTGTACTGACCCGTATACCCATAGTTGTGCTTCCACACAGCATCCATGCTCTTGATGTACATGCGCAAGCTGCTCAGACAGTCAGACAAGCGCACTTCCAAGGTACACAAAGAGATCTCCATCGTTGCCGTGACTATGTCGTTATGCTGGAACCATTGGAACTGTGTCGTGCGGCACAGCAGGGTAAGCAGTACTACCCCAGCAGCCCACACGTCCACTGCTGTGGTCTGGCACTGCATGCCCATGAGCACTTCGGGCGCTCGGTATCCCCGAGTTCCCGCGCGGTTGACTGGACGTTCGAATTTGACCCCTGAGTTCCTCACTGTCACCGATGCGTTCGTCTTGCTGACGCCCAACATGATCCGCCTCTTCGCCATCTGCTGCGCCATCTCTAGCTTCTCCTGCTCCTTTTGATTCCGCGAGGAGCGAGAGCTGGCCGTAGAAACCTCACAGGGCAAGATGTTGCCGATACTGCGGCCTGATGACTGCATTTGTTTCTCTGCCAGCCCAAAGTCCACAAGCAAGTACTTCTTATTCCTTCTGTCATAGAGGAAGTTATTCAATTTCACGTCTCGTTGTATAATAAATGTATAATGTATAAGACAGTTCTTGCTCAAGACCGAGTTTAACTAAGTAATGCACACTGTGACACGAAACCACTGAGAATTGAGGCCCAGCACTGCACCGTGATGATGAGAGACTCCCGACTGTATGCTAGAATATGAAACTCAAGCATCCGACATCATTCAGTTGCAACGCCGCCGCTGTTCCGATGACACGGCGGACCGGGTACGGCCCGGTACCGCCGGGCATCATGCCATTGCCGCCGCGTGGGGCCGCCGCCTGGCTCGGAACTTGACTCTCACCGTTCAACGGTTGACTCACCGGCTACGGTAGCCTTGAAGCCGCTCAGAGGTCCGGCGGAGAGTCCGGCTCGCCCGGCCGGGCGGCGGTCGGACCTTGAGTTTTCAGCCTGTGTTCAATTAACTCAGCGGGGCTATCTGATCGGACTGGCCGCATGGCTGGCATGCTGATCCCGGCATTAATCAGCAGTGCCGACGGTCACCCGTGACCGTCTCACTGAGCCGAGCCTCCGCCGGCCCGGGCCGGCCGGCGGCGGCGGCCGGGCGGAGCCCGAGCCTGGCAGTCACTCAGCGGCTGAGTGCCCGGCAGTGGCCGCGCCAGCCCGGCGCTGACTCACGGTGACTCGGCCTTGGAACCGTCACGGTGCCTGCTTGCCAGCGCCGGCCCGCGGCGGGGCGGCCCCCGGCCGGTACTACGGTAGCCTTAGTCACGGTGGCAGACACAACTTGAACAGTCGGAGGTCAACATAACATAACTCATGGCATGCCAGGCTTCAGTCGGAACTTGGAACACTTCAGTGCGCCCGAAATGATTCTGAGGGCCACAAAAAATATTTCACTGTGGAACAACTTGAAAATTGAGGGGGTGTTCGGCCTGAAATCTTTGTGTGTCACTGCCGCGCAAGCAAGTCCAACCTACATGGAACAACTTGAAAATTGAGGGGGTGTAAGAACTCGCCGCCGATAAGTTCTTGGAGACGGCGAGAAGTTCACTGGTATTGCGTCACTGAGTCAGAGTCTCATCGGTAGACGAAGCTCAGCGACTCAGATGGAAGTGGGCTTTGACATAGGTCTGGAATTAAGGAATCGACGAGCCTGAGAGTCTGGCAGTGAAAAGGGGGTGAGGAGGACACGTGTCCAGGGCGCTGTGCATTGTACTTGGTCACTGGAGGGACCGTGAAGGGGAGGTGACTGCTGTGAATAAAGGAAGTGTTGGTGGTGTTGCCAGTGTGGTTCTTCTGAGAGTTCTATCATCATCAGTGAAGGTCACCGTAGTGTTAGAGACTGCACAGCTGTGTATCCGATTGATGTGAATAAGGTTGGGGTAAGGATCTCAGGTGTACTGAGAGATAGTGTTTGGTGGATCTTGGGTTAAATAGAGTCTGGCCAGTGAGGTGGAGGTTGATTCGATTAGGGGCCGGGGGTGTTCGGCCTGAAATCATTGTGTGTCACGCTCCTCCAAGTTTCAAGTTGTTCCATATAGTTTGGAGCAAGTCCAACCTACATGGAACAACTTGAAAATTGAGGAGGTGTTCGGCCTGAAATCATTGTGTGTCACGCTCCTCCGGCCTGAAATCATTGTGTGTCACGCTCCTCCAAGTTTCAAGTTGTTCCATATAGTTTGGAGCAAGTCCAACCTACATGGAACAACTTGAAAATTGAGGAGGTGTTCGGCCTGAAATCATTGTGTGTCACGCTCCTCCGGCCTGAAATCATTGTGTGTCACGCTCCTCCAAGTTTCAAGTTGTTCCATATAGTTTGGAGCAAGTCCAACCTACATGGAACAACTTGAAAATTGAGGAGGTGTTCGGCCTGAAATCATTGTGTGTCACGCTCCTCCGGCCTGAAATCATTGTGTGTCACGCTCCTCCAAGTTTCAAGTTGTTCCATATAGTTTGGAGCAAGTCCAACCTACATGGAACAACTTGAAAATTGAGGAGGTGTTCGGCCTGAAATCATTGTGTGTCACGCTCCTGCGGCCTGAAATCTTTGTGTGTCACGCTCCCATCGCAAGTCAGCTTTGATGGCCATTATGGCCTTCACAGGCGTGGCTGGCCCTCCGAAGCTCAATCATGATGCATCGCCAATACGATATCAAATATCAAAATAAAAAATATCAAAGTTGAAAGTTTCCCGCCACTGTGAACTCTGCGAAGCCGTACAGATATGAGGATGTGCAGCGTTTGACAGAGCAAGACAAGTCAGGTGAGCATTATCTCTTTTTTTCATCGAAATTATCACGGAAAGAGATCCAAATGACGTGTTCTTGATGCAGGTTGGAATGATTTGCAGCCTTTGGCAACTTGTATGAGATTGATGAACGGGTGAAGACTTTGGCAAGTGCCCAACCAATATTACAAACCGGTATCCAGGAGTACGTAGACGTACCAGTAAGCCGCCCAGCATACAAAACTCTCGAGACAATGGCTGCATACGAAGGGGGTTTCGACACATCGCAGAACTGTCCCGATGTGAAAAGGTTGTGACATGAAATGGGCACAAACAAAGATAAGTTCAGGACTCGGGAGTCGATCAGGTCTAGGCAAAATATTGACATGGTCATCTCACTGCATGGAAGAACATGCAAAACTGAAGGAAAAGCTCAACGGAAAGTTCTAAATGAACAGATACAGCGCATTTTAGCAGTCACGGTCGGAGCAGCTCGATGCTTGAAACAAAGATGATCCTCAGTACAATCGAATGATGACAAGTAAGTCCCGTGGTTCGTGAAGGATTCTTCATCCAATTCTTAAGGATGTGTTGGAACGATGAAACATTTTGCAAATCACCAATTTCATCACACTGACTGATGCATCATGTAAATATTACTGGTGTGAACTTGCATCAGATTCTGTTCATCGGATGAGCCGCTACCAAGCAGTTGATGTCACAGCAAACAAGAGAGCCGTTTTGAAGATGTTGATATTCCTGACCGTAGAGCATTCAAGATGTGGCCACATGTCACATGCTTCTTGGTTAACGCAGATACACCCTCGCCAGGCAAAAGATGGAACGTCTTCAGGATTACAGGGAGGTCGGTTGTGCTTGTACCCTGATTGTAACTCTTCTAATAAAGATATGATAACCTGAATGTGCAATTCTGTTTGTTGATTCACAGTGTTTGCGACTCGATTGCAATCATCGAGTGCTTGCTCTGTTGAACAAGGCACTCCTCTGTAGAGCCATGCGACAAGAACACTACAGTTGCACGGTAGCATTGCGACACCAAGACAGGATTGATCCGATGAACGTCTCATTTATTGATACGCAAAGGCATCATCTGCACATTGCTTCATTTCTGACTAGGTTTCTGTGCAATCGAAATCCTTGTGAAAATATCATGACAGAGGAAAAATTTGAAGCGAAACGGAAAAATCATCGAAATATGATCATAGATATAGTGATTCATGATCAACAACGGTTCTCTACAGTCATCTATGCGGGCAGGAACAGTCATCTTCTGTGCAAACGTCTCTTCATGTATCGTTGAACGGTTGAGTGCATGTAAGACTTGCCTCCATAGAAAGGTGAAGTGCATGAATCCTGACTGTAAGACTAGAAGAATTGAAAGCAAGTGATGGCATGAGAACACATATCTAGACAGAAAAGTCGCTCAAGGTACAGCTGGATACAAATTTCTCACAAATCACAGTCATGCATTTGAGCGCAACGTGCAACCTACGGCAATTTGAATAAAGGGTCAATCAGAGTTGATTCTGTTCAATGGTGTATCGATTATCAATTCCTTACCTGATCATAAAAATTTCATCTTGTCTTCGAAGAATATTTGCAAGTACACCCGCGGATTGTTTGAACCTAGGGTGCATATTCCATTGCAGGATGGATGATTCAAACCTTGGCCCAACCTGTAGAGTTGAGAAAGAAGCTCGATCATCTCTTACAGGTATGATATGAGATCTTCATCTCATTTCTATCTCAGTTGGGTTGGATTCGAAGTCTCTCAATATCAAAGTTCATCCTGGTGAGTCAGGAAGGCACCATTTCATCGCTTCTTGCTCGTCCAGGGAGAGGGGGCTTGGGGAATGAGAAATGGGTGTTACCCCCACCCCCTATTGTAGAGTTTCAAACTCTTTCAAAGGTGGGTAGTTGAGGGTGCTCCATACCCACCCCACCACCCAAAATGACTCAAACGGAGGGGTTCTCGGATCCGAAGGAGTCCCGCCTCCATCACCCCCTCTCATTTGAATTTAAGATGGTTCAGGCCGACCCCACATACAGGCTTGCAGTTTTCTTATGTATGCCCATATGATTTGATCGGACAGGCCCCAGGTTCAAGGGATGAAGCAATCACCAGCATGCTTGAAGATTTTTCATGGGAGTGGGGTTATACTTGTACCGGATGTGTACAATACATAGGGGAGAACCCCGAATGGTACCAAAAGAGTACCAAAGTCACATGGTTCGGACTGTACTAACTGGTACCAAGAAATTGTACTCAAGAAGACCCTACCCCTGAAAAAGTCCTGCTTGGCTCTTCGTGATTTGAATTCGGAACACGGTCGGAAGACCCACCCCGCCCCCACATGAGGCGTGGTATGCGTGGATTTGAATCTACCACCCTCACCGCGAAACGTTTTAGAGCTCCAAGGTCAATTGAGAAAGGCAACGCTATGGCGCGTCACTGTCACGTAGTAAGGGGCCGCGCGGCCGGCGCGGCCGGCGCCGCCGCCTGCCACGCGACCGGGGCCGGGCCCGCGACGGCCCTTGCTCGGAAACGCGCCAGGTTCCTGCTACGGCGAGGCGGTCACACGGTACGGTACGGTACGGTACCCGGTACCCGGCGTCCGGCGGCTCACACCCAGATCGGACCCGGGCCGGGCGGGCCGGCGGGGCGCGCGGTCACTGCCGGTGCCGCAGTGCCCGCCATACTATGATAGACGGTGGGCCGCCGGCCCGGGCACAGACGGTGCGCCGGGAGTCAGTGACGGCCGTGAGCCTCCGTCCGCGGCCCGCCGGTGGCGGCGCCCGCGGCCCGGCCGGGCCGGGCCCGGCGCCGCCGGAACCGTGCCGTCCGTCCGAGTCAGCAGGTTGCCGACGAAGTTTGAACTCGTGGCAGTGACACGGTTCCGAAGTTCGGGCCGGGGACCGTCCGACCGTACGGTCGACACTGTCAAGGTCGCACTGCCGCAGCCTCGGACGGTGGCCCACGTGACCCCCTCCGGGAGTTCCGCGCCTGAGCCGGGGGGTACCCCCTGGTTCCGGCCCCGGCGTCGCCTCGGGCCGGAGGGGGTCTCAGCTGTCAGTGTAGAATTCATGGCGATTTTAAAACTTGAATCACCTGACAATCGCCGGTACAAACAAGTTCAGTTATCAGACGACATGGATAGTATAATTTACTTATCAGTCTAAATGAGACTGGGGGTGGTCATCTAGGGTGCAGAATCTGCCCCGGTGCCGCTAGGGACCACTACTGGTAGCCGCCTCATCCGACCGTACTCTCTCAGAATGGAACATGTTCCATGGCTGACAAGATGTAGCGGCGGGAAGGAGTGCCGTCGAGCAGCAGAGCTGTTGTTGTCTTATTCCAATTCTGAGAGTGAAGCATACGGCGCATCCCTCACTTCTGCAGCCTTGTTTTTCCTCTCACCTGGTCCTTGCCCTTTGTTTTGTACTGCCCTCCTTCTTTTCCATTCCAGCTCTCATTCCCCAGCTGCGGCACTTGATAGAAGCTTTCTTGTTGTATTGAATCCTTAGACAATACTTGATCAAGACGCAAATAGATGTTTGGCTTCTGTGCCCTTCGTTCTTGACCGAGCAGATGTTTTGAGTAGCATGGTTGAGCTTATGAATGTGTACACATCTCCACTTTCAGACAATAAGCAAAAAAGTGAAAGGAGAGTATCCTCGTTGTTTCGTCATTCTCTCGGTGCAGTCATCTACGTGGAAGAGTTGGAAAGTGTCAATGATTTTAGCTTTGTTGCGGTTATGTGTTCAACATCTATCACTTGCATGTAGAAAGTACAGCATCGTTTCTCAAGTTGTGAGATCCATCATGACAAAACTGAGATTCCTCCCCTGTTTTTCTGATCATGTCCCAACTCAATCTCCTCCTACGCTGCTACGCATTCAACGAAAGCGCCACACGAATTTCTTGAAACCTTACTTTTGAGCAGGGATGGGGCAAGTGAATGAGCGGCAAGATGCTTCAGATCAGTTGCTGTCTGCTCGTCTCAGAGACGAACCGTCAGGTTCAGACATGTATGATGCTAGCAAGCTGGTGAGCGCTTTTCTATCCAGGAAGCCGAAGGCATTCGGCCATGCAGCAGGACTCACTGCGCAACGTGAGATCAACTCGTAAGCAGGAAGCAGAGAGGCTGGAGAAGGCACAGAGACGTAAGGAGGACCTGAAGCACAGCGACATGCTGAAGTGACCACTCTGGAGTTGCCTCGACCTGGTTGACTGACGTGATTGCGGCAGGAAACTGGTCGAAGACATCTCTTCAGATCTCAATCCAGAGAACTTTGTCAAGGCCTGCAACTGCTACCAATCCAACGACCCTGCTACGGAGAGGCGAGAACAGGAGGATAGTCAATCTCCCACCATCTCCAGAGGCCCAAAGGCTGAGATTTCGGATGAGCAGGAGCAGGAGAGGAGAAGGTCTCTCTCACAGTATGTCGCCTCGTTGCGCACGCACAGCAGCAACTCCCTGCCTACTGCCCTCGAAGATCAAAGATGTTCAGAGCAAGAGGAATCGTTGAGCCCAGAGGGAACTATCTCTATGTGACGGTTGTTAGAAGGGCGCGCGCCCTATGCAACTATTAGATGTGTGGTTACTTCGATTCGTGTTTTGGTTAGGTCCAACTTTGTTTGATCTTGATTTGTTTGATATTTTTTGTCGATGTTCTACACAATTCTAGTTTACAGAAATATTACAAGTTGTCCTCGAAAATTGCTACAATCTCCCTTTTCTTGAGCTCAATCTCAAGGTGTCTTTCATTTTTCTCTCCTTCGAATCTCCGAATGACCCGATGTTGCTGCCTCTGATGCTTGCAGGCAAGCCGGGATCCGAGGTAACTTTCCTCAAACTCAGTCTTGCCAGGGACGAAACTTGATTAGATCCCATGATCTCAACATTGCTAACGTCACGCGAGGTATTGAAATTGAAGGAGACAGACTTGGAGAGCGTTCGCTTCCCATCCCTGCTGCTCTGGCCCGCCGACAGCATTCTTCTTCCATCCCGATGATTCATTCCCGTGGTGATCATTTCTGCCAGCTCGTCTGCAGTGCTCAGGTCCTGCTGCTTCGACTCGTCAGAGACGGTGATCCCAAGGCCCTGCACACCAGACTTCCCCAGCTGATGCATCCTCTTCTCCTGCTGCACCAGGTAGTGCTGCTGCGGCCCGATGATGCTTCCCGGCCTGCAGATGCGAACCCACGCGATAGCCTGACGGGCGGTGAACAAGTAATGCTTCATGAGGTAGAGGGCAATGAGCGTGCCCGTGCGGCCCAGACCAGCCTTGCAGTGCACTGCGACAACCCCACTCGAGGGATCCTCGGCAATCGTGAGGAACTTGTGGACGATGTCATCCGACGGAGTTGTGCAGTCCACAAAAAAGAGATCGTGATGGGCGATGCCGGCTTTCACAAAGGTGCGCTTGTCGTACTCCTCGATGTTGAGACGGATCACAGCCTTCACTCCCTTGGATTTGAATACATCAATGTAGGTCGTGGGGTGGACGGAGAAATCTTGTTTCTGGCAGTCATCTCGAGGGCCTTTGAAAGCGATGAACTTACCCCGCACAACCTGATGAAACGCATAAGAACGCGCGGTGGCGAAGAAAGCGTCGCAGCTCACCTCGTGCAGATCGCCGTTCTGAGGGTTGTCATAGTAGAAGTACTCCCTCACATCGAAGTCGTCCACCGCCAGAAGGTTATGCCGAACTGCATGGACCAGCCCCTCCCAGCAGTCTTGAATGTGAAGGTCAAAGGTGCTCTTGACCCATGTCGCATCCCTGTAGTCTAAGAACCTGCCGTTCTTGATCTGATGGAAAGGTTCCCATGCCTCGTCTGCTGTCGCATCGAGGTAGAGGCAGAGGAAGGATCCGAGCAGAAAGATGGAGTTGGTGAAGTCTTCCAGCTGTGGGTTGTACACAAAGACGATCTCACTCTTCTTGTTGGTCTGCTTTTGCAGCAGTTGCTTAATGGAAGAACAGAAGTGCAAAACAACTCCGAGGTTGTTCGGCCCAAAATCTGCACAGAAGGGAACATACTGCAGGTTCTTACTGAGTCTCACGCGGATCTCATCATTGCTAGGTGGCATTCCTCTTCCATTGTCCAAGGCGCGCATATAGAGCTTGTCCTTGAGAATCACGATCCTTCCCTTGGAGTCAAGCTTGCCATCCCCCAGGACGAACTTGGAGTTGGTTCCGCGCAATCGTAAGGATTTCTCGTTCTCTGCCGGCCTTCGGCTTGACGAGATTCGTTTCAAGACTTTCTTATCGCCAGTCAAAGTATGGTCTGTATTCAGCAACGTCAGATCAATCTTTGATTGCCATTCCGGTAGTTCCAAGGACTCAGTTGAAGAAAATGGAAATTCCAGATCCGACCGCATTCGCATGCCCAAGGAGTTGGCGCTGCTAGATGACGAAGATGATTCAGAGGAGGAGGAGGAGGAGGAGGAGGAGGAGGAGGAGGAGAACGATGGCAGCGAATGAATTGTGCGGGCAGACACAATGCGACTAGGATTCGATGAAGGTGTTGGTAGATGCAAGCTGGAAGGCGAGGAGAGATGGAGAGTTTCGGAGTTGTAAGGAGAGGATAAGAGATGCGTGGACTGTAGAAGGGAAGAAGGAGCTCGTGCGGGGAGGGGGGAAGGAATAGGAACCATCCCGGGCAGCTCCGACGAGCAGTAGATGAATTGAAACTTCAGGAGGAGCTGCAGGCGTACCAGACCTGAGGGTGGGGTGAGGTCATGGGTGGGGTAGGGAAGGAGGCGAGTTAATACCTTGGGGTGGGGTCGGGTAGTTTGTTTATAATCTAGGTCAAATCTGGGGGTAGGGTCATGAAACCGATGGTGTGGACCCCTGTCTTTCTGCGGGTTAATTTTTGGTTTGAGGGTGGCAAAGTACGAATATACTGTGGATATCCTGGTGGTGGGTAGTATGGTGACATCAATCATGTTTTTGGGGTGGGGGTGGGGGTTATCATTCAGTAGAAAGGGGTGGGTGGTCAAAATGCAATCGGGAGACGTAGGTCAAAAAACACAGAAGGGTCTCTGATCATTAAAGGTAGGTGGGGGTAAAAATTGAACCCCAGGAACGACAACACAAAAGGGGTTTAAAGGAGGGGTAGTGGTAAAGGGGGTACGGTTGAGGTGCTAACCGATCACTAGTAGTTTAATAAAGGCTTTTTGACCTAGCAGTGAACACCTACAATGACCCCCATGGGGTGGGTGCTCTCCAGAGGGGGTGGGGTTGGTGACAGAAAATGCACTGGGGGTGGGGTGGGCTCAATTGAGGGTTGCACGGGGTCAGATTTCAACTGGTCAGAGTCTATGCAGTAGGGTGGCAGTCAGAACAGAACCTGAGTTCAGGTAAAAAGGGGTACAATACCAGTGAAAAACAGGGGTACAGGGAGTGAGAGGGTGGTACGAAATAGTTATCAAGGGGGTGGTCTAAATAATGGTTCGGGGGGGAAGGGACAGTGACGGGGTCGGCATCCAAGGGGGTGGCATGTTCCTACCCTACCTCCTTCTTCTCGTCCATGCGGTCCACCAGAGTTGGGGGTGGGTGGGAGAGAAGAGCCTCCGGTTTGTAAGAAGCAAACTTTGTTGTACCCACCCTACCTTATCTCTCATCAATTTTTCCTGCCAACCACCGGTCTATTAAAAAAAAACATGATCGACCTCTTCGGGTCACCAACAACTATTTTTCATCCGTGACCGTCCATGTCTGCTGGGCAACGGGGGTAGTCAAGAATTGAGTACGGTAGGGCGGTTGAGGGGTGGTTACTCGCTAGGACATCGGTACAGAGGAGGTCGTAAGGCATAGTAAAGCTGGAGTGGAGGGGTGGGCTGTATGTTGTAAACGACATAGAGGGTCGGTTATTATATCTTTAGGAACGACAAGGAGGGGTCCCCAAAAAAAGAATTGAAGGTACCCTTTTGAAGGGGGGTGACCGCACGCGGTGTTGCTTAATTACAGAATAGGGGCAAACTTGAACCGGAGAAAAGGGTGGGGGGGTGGGGGGGTAGGAGCTAATAAGATGATCGGATCGGACTGCCAGGATGCCAAGATGCAAACTTTGTCCGACGGCCCCAACGGAGGCTCCGGCCCGTGAGCCGCGCCAGGTACGGTATCAAAGCCTGACGGTCACCGGGTACTGTACTAGACTCTCAAATGCCACCGGACGCGGCACGCGGCAAGTTGATTGGCCCCGGGACTCGCCGGGGCCGGGCCGGGAGGTGACTCGGAGCCTGGGACGGTGAAGATCCGCCGATGCTCGGGGGGGGGGGGCCGCGCCACTGAATCCCCGGAGTCGCCCCGGTGACTCGGAGTCCGTCACGGCGTACGGTCGGACTCAGTCAGGGAGTTGCAAACTTGAAACTTTCAAATGTGAAGGTATCAGTTAAGTTTGGCACGCGGCAAGTTGGGCGGGGACACTGCCTGAGACCGCAGTCGGCAGGATTGGGCTGGCCTGGGTTTGGTTCTCCGAGGCTGTCTTTTCTCTTCTCGCCGTTTGGCCAGCGGCTGCCGCAGTGCGACGGCGGCGGCGTACAGTGTGGCAGGGTCAAGCCTCCTCCGAGGCTCGACTCTCCTGATCACCGATTGTCCTCGTTCTGCCATGCCAGCCGGCGCCGCGCGATCAGACGCCGGGCCGGCCATCCGACATGCCTTCCCGGCCGCTGGTACAAGATCGGACCAAGTCACTAGTAACAGTAATCAGGCTAGTAGTGACCCAAGTTTCTGCTGAGTCGGACAATGACCTTGAACTTAAGGTACCCACCCTTGTTCCGAAGTTCATTTGTCATTATTCAACATGTGGAGGAATGACGATTTGAATGAATTAATGACTGTGGATCACATCTGAAGCAACATGGCTTGAATGTTGCATATATTTCTTGACTTCATGTCCTTACTACATCCTGAGAGTTGTCACAGCTGGCTTGTATGGAGTGAGCTTTCCTGTGTCACATCATCATACTGAGTTTACTTCGTTTCACAATGCGCAGTTGCTGAGTCATGATCAGAGCCCCACAGGAAATGGGACCCCCAAAACCAACAAGCTAACGTAATGCCGCTGTCGCTGTCACAGTGCACCTTAACAGTAAGTAACACTGAAGCATGACCGCCTGTCATGTGACGGCAACGGTTTGGCGGACTCCCGGGAGGTTAAACTTCAAGCTTTCTACTCAGAGTCATGAGTCGCAGACCCCGGCACTCAGTGTGGCAGTCGACCGTCCTGTAACTTCGGAGCACTCGCGCGGCAGCGGCCATAGTCCGCCGCTAGCAAGATTAGACATCCTCGCCACCAAAATGACGGAAATCGTTTGGAGTTTGATACCTGCGTCTAAATTTCAGTTTCTTTCTGCTTTTCAAGGCTGTCACAAGTTGCCAAAGTATACCTCGGACGATTTATTGGTCTACCAAACGGAGAAAACAATCCAAAACCAAACGAACTAGCAAAGTCCCTGGGGCAAATCTCAGTGATTGGAGAAATCTTAGAATGAACGGAGCAAAAGCTGAATCAGACAAGACACACCTCATAATTGATCTTTCCATGTCTTGAAATTGTCTCAATACGTCTTGGGCATCTGCATGATTGTAAAAATGACTGAAAACTTAGTGAAACTTCATCAGAGCTACCCGTTTGCACTGAACTGCTTTCATGTGAGTCTGCTGAGGTTGAAGGGTCGAAGTATCTCCTGCAAGCATCCATCACACGGAACATTGTACATCTATCATCAGCTGCCTGTAGTATCTGTTTTCAAAGTTGGAGCTGTCAGACGGGAGGGTTTCTTCACTCTCTGTATACGGTGCACGCTCCGTCAGCCCATCGAATCTGCTTGTGCCGCCGAACGGAGAGAATCTGGAGAAGATCCCAAGGGGAGAGGCTGGCCAGTCTGATAGCGAAGAAGAATGGTCGGAGTCGCTCAAAGGCGCCCAAGTAGAATCTGATCCTTCACCCCTCCGCTCCTCTAGAGGTCTCCCCGGGCACTGCCTAAAAAATCTCTTCAAGTTCTCACAAATCCTGGTTCTCAGTCATCAATATCCGTGTACAGACAAGTGCATTGCAGTTCGACCTGCTTCCGTCGCTTCCGGTGCGGCAGCTTCTTTCAATCTGTTCAGTGTAGTAGCATCCATCAGCACCCGTCTGAGATGAAGATGATGTTGAGGAGCTTGAGCTGTATGAGAAGGTTTCTCCGAGCATATCCCTGCTAGAGTTGAGTCAAACCTTGGGTTCCTGAAGCCTGCCATCAAGAAGGAGGTCATTCGAGAGGGACCCCAAACAACGCAAAATAATGTCAATGATCAAATATCGTGTCATTCATTACGCACCTCTTCTTCAAAATTTCCTCTTTGCAACATCAAACTACACCAATTCTGTCGCACTATGTCTTGTTGATCGGTCACACCTTCAATTGATTTCTATTTCACGACACCCACCTGCTATTTGCATGCTCTGAGCTTTACCTGGGCCTCATGGCGTTCTGTCTGTTTGTTCCTTCCTACTTTCCTTTACCATCTTACTCTCACGCTCCTGCTCCTCCCTCTCCTTCCTGCCCACTGGATGCATATTTGGTAGAACATTTACTAGAACAACGTTACATAATCGTTACATTTCCCGGCGCAACCGGCCCCGGGCCGAGCCCACGAGACTCCGGTCTGAGGGAAATGTTTTAGTCAACACAATCCTTCTGGAACAAGGAGGACCCACCCCTCCTCTGAAATTTCACCCCCACCCACCGGTTCTATTGTGTACCCACCCTTTGAGGGACTTGCTACACCCGATTTTTTCATTGATTGCTGCCTTGAGCTATATGCATGAGGTTTACTAATTAAAAATGAACAAGTTTGTTCTGCCCTTTGTCACTTACAACTACCCACCCTTTCTTTTGAGCATTGCTCCCCACCCCCACCGTACTGGTGGCCCCTTTCACATCCTATCGCCGTTTCAATCGCTTCATGCCCTACCAGCGGCTTATCCATTCTCCCAGTGAGAGCCGAGTCCGCGGGCAGAAGTAGGATAAACACACCTCAAACCATGCTGCGTTCCTCTTCCCCCTCTTTGCTGCCGTCCTATCTGCATACTGAGTTGGCTCGGGCGACACAAAACACATACCTCACCTCTTACGCTGTAACCATTGCAGTAGTCCTGTGTTTCGGGTGGTGTAGCACGAGTTGAAGTGGTAGAGTATGCCGCACAGATGATTTGATTTTTCCTTTAACTAATGCTTCCAATGATCTATTCCTGTTACATTCTGGTGGTAGCAAAATCGAAACTGCTGATGTTTTCACTTTGCTCCTTCATGCAAAGATAGTTTATTGCAAAAGTTGCAGGTACTCCCTTCCTTTGAAACTATCTCTGCACACTGATTATTTGTCCTTTCATTTGTATGCATGAAATCGCACCTTACCTGCACTTGATTTTGCGACTTATGCTCATTTTCTCACCCATCTTCTTTCAATGCGACTCTACAACTTTTGCGACGTGCAGCAAACACATGTTTGAAGGGTTTTGCAGTTTGAAGTCTTTTCCTGCAAACTATTGAGTGATGGGTGTTTTGACCAATCACAAGCTTTCTAACTCACATGGTGTGCTCATGGTATTGATCTCCTGCTTTCGTTCTCAGATGTTTATTTTGAAGCCGTAGTTTACTTGGGCAAAGTAAAAATTGCCAAGGTATATCCCATGGTGCTATCAAAGCATCCTAATTTTTCTACCAGATAGTTGTCCTTGCATGAGATTATCCATTCTTGTTGTCGGAGACGAGACAGTATCGACATCCAAGGACATACTGGACGAATTGTTTGCATCAAGCCATGTCAGGAATTGATGTTGATGAGGAGACAAAACGTGCCGAATGCGAGCACTTTGAAAATGTGATCAAGGCTTTCCTGTTCTACAGAGAACATGCTTTGAATGTGGTCAGCAAAGCAGAGGTGAGTTTTGCAAGGCTGCCACCTCAGCACCAGGCGATACTCAGTCACTTACCTTCCAAGTTCTCGACTCAGAAACGTTGTGTTGATGTGAATCAGCAGTTTCTCAATACTATTGTGGCACATGCTAGCAGCTTCACGGCGAATAGCCACTTACTGCAGGGGGCGCAGACAGAATTCCCGTTCATAACCGGTCAGGGCCTGGACATGGACAAGATACGATGTACATTAAGACAGTTCGTTAGAGATTGGAGTGAAGATGGTCAAGCAGAGCGCGTTCAGAGCTATAAACCGATCACAGATGCTCTGGAAAGCTATTATTCGCATTATCCCATGGATCAGCGCTATCGACTCCGAGTGCTACTTCCTGGTGCTGGGTTGGGCAGACTAACCTACGACATCGCAAAGCTTGGCTTTTCAGCGCAAGGATGTGAGTTTTCGTACCAGATGCTGATCTCATCCAACTTTATTCTGAACTACGCTCCTGGGGAGAAGATGCTTGCTCTGCATCCTTGGGTGTTGTCGTCGTCTAACGTATGGGATGCCGATGCACATCAGTTCAAGCAAGTTCTTGTCCCTGACGAGATGCCAGGAGGGCTTCCTCCGAACGTCGAGTTCAGCATGGTTGCAGGGGATTTCTTGGAAGTGTACAGGAATCAGCGAGGGGAATGGGACTGTGTCGCTACCTGTTTCTTCATCGACACTGCGTCAAATGTGGTTCAGTATGTTGAGCATATCCACAGTTTGCTTGCAGATGGAGGGATCTGGATCAATCTCGGGCCTCTTCTATATCACTACTCGGACTCAGCAGACGTGGACTCTACTGAACTCTCATACACTGAGCTGAGATCGCTCGTTCTGCATTTCGGGTTTGAGATCAAGGAAGAGGCTGAGAGGACCTGCTACTACACGCAGAACCCGAACTCCATGATGCATACCATCTACAACTGCGCCTTCTTCGTGGCTATTAAGAAGCCTTCACGCGGCTTCGTTCCTACTCCAACCTCCGTTCCCAATGTTTCGATGACTACCCCCTATGCTGGCAACCCTTCACCGCAGATGTATGCAGGTGAGAGACTCTTGTAGAAGCGATAGACGTGTTGACTGTGGCATACAGCTGTAACCGGCTCCGATGCTCACGTTGCAGCTCCTCCTCCACCGCAGTGAAATAGTTGCGATCATTATTCATTCGGACGCTAGTCGTTCTACCGCAAAGTTTAAAGCGATGTTTTTATTCTCTTTCAACCTCCTACTGATCTCCCTTACATGTGGAAGACCCCAAACTTAACTAAGTCACTATCAAATGTCTGGAGACGATCGCAAAGCCTCTCTGATTGGCGCGATCTTGATCAGTGGAAGCCTCCACGAATTTACAGATCAGAAAGTACTCTAGGGACGATTTAACAGAAGCCGGAGCTGCAATCGTCCATGTCCTTCCTAGCGATGGCACGTGCAGCAGCAAGTTCCTTGCGGATCTTGGCATCCTTGGTCACCTGGACAGCATGGAAGCCATGCTTGTTGCCGGGGTCGTTGCCGTACGTGATCTCAGGCTTGATCTTCTTCTCGCTCAACACCTGCATCCTCGCCGTATCTTCCTTGCTCTGACTTGCGCTTGTTTCTCGCTCAGCCTTCTTTTCAATCCGAGCATTGGCAGCAGCTTTGCGCTGCATGGCCGCAGTGTGCAGGGCGTTGTCATGAGACTGCAACGCGTCAAAGTAGGAGAGCATGCTGTGTTGGCTCTGAGCCGCGTTCCTATTAGCCGACTGGAGAATATTCTTGTGCTCAGCTACCGCTTGAGAGTTGAGAGTATCGTAGTAACGGTCGATCGCTGACTTGGCGGCCTGAGATGTGAGGAGGGCTTGTTTCTCACTGGCGGCTTGCTGCTGCTTCAGACGAGTGTACTGCTCATTGTAGAACTTGTTCATGTCTTGCCTTGCAGAGACGTCAGTCATCTTGTGGGGCTGTACCTCTTTCTTGGAAGCTGCGAGCGTTTGAGCGTGTTGTGTGGGCTTCAATCCAGTCTCGCCCAAGTCTCCGATGGGAGGCTTGAAGTCAGGAGCTACACCATTCCTGATGCTTCCCTCTCTCCCTGCCGACGGTTTGGAGGAATGAAACTCAGAGTCTCCGAAGGCAAGAGCTGAGGACTTCTCGCTGGCAGCTGCTACCTTTGGTCTCACTACCAGCGTCTGAACCTTGCTGTGCTTCAGTCCAACTTCACCAAGATCGCCGAGGGGAGGGAGGAAGTCCGGCGTCTTGCCTGCCCTCACGCTTCCCTCTCGTGCACTTGCCTGGGGCCCGGAGTGAAACTCGGAATCACCGAAGGCCAGCACAGCTCCATGTTTCTGAATAGGAGTTTTGGGCGCTTGAGCAAGGCCTTCTTCTCCTAGATCACCAAGAGGAGGCTTGAAGTCCGGCTTCACTCCTCCTCGAACACTTCCCTCCTTCGATTGCGATGCTTTCGATGCATGGAAGGATGCATCTCCAAACGCGAGCGAAGCAGTGCTGGTTTGCCTCCTCATAGGTTTCTCAGAGAGGCCAATCTCCCCAAGATCTCCGAGGGGAACCTTGAAGTCTGGCTTGATGTTTCCTCTTACACTCCCTTCCCTCGTGCGAAAAGCCTTTGACTCGTGAAACGAAGAATCACCAAACCTTAACACGGCTGCGCCGTTGGGAACTTGTGCGAGTTTTGTACTCTTTCCTGCCAGACCGATCTCCCCGATGGGTCCAGGAGGGGCGACAAAGTGAGGAGCGATCTTTCCCCTTACACTGCCTTCCCTCTGCTGCGGCAGCACACCGGCTGCATGGAAAGAAGCATCGCCGAACTTGAGCTCTGTGTACATCTGGGACAACTCCTTCCTCCCCGAAGTGCTTCCCGAGGAGTAGAACGCCACAGCCACCAGAAGACCAGCTATGGATAGACAAGCGACAAATTTCCTCAAGAGCCTCTGGTATCCTCCTCTCTCCTCCTCCCGCCATCCCGCCATGGGCCTGACCAGCGACGCCTCCCCCCTCGCCATGTTTGCCTCTAAATCCGGCGCTCCTAAAACTTCAATTTAAAAGTAGTACGACGTGAGGTACTTCTTTGTACGGTACTTGAAAGAATTGGTACGAATATTAGTCAATATTATATTTTAATTGAACATTGAGTAAAGAGTACGAAGCTCTGGAAGGCCCGCCTGACACTGCTCGGGCCCGGGCCCGGAGTTTTCACTCCCCACAGTATCGAAGCTGGACAAGGGGTGGGTCATCATGTGAATTTCTGGCGGTTCAAAAAGGGGTAGATAATTATGTTTCTGGGGGGTATGGTGGATAATTTTGTTGGAAAGCTGAAGCGTCCAAGGGGTAGGGTGATGGAAACCCCCCTGCATTGAGGGGAAACAAGGGGTACACCATCATGGGGGTCTACGAAGGTAGTGAAGGTTTGTTTTCCGAGGGTGGGTGGGCGGCTGGTTCTATTGGGAAAAATGCTAGGGCGCTTTGTTCGGAGAGGAAGAGAGGATGGTGGGAAAGATAGCAAAGGGAAACGAAGAAGATGATGAATGTTACCAACAACAAACACATCGAGAAGTCTGATCGTTCATACATGTCCTGCGTGTCCATGAAGTGCACGAGTCAAGTTTGTTCTGATCTGCAAAGGTGGCTGAAAATCGTACATTGACTGCTAGTCTACACAAGGAAAGATGTAGTCATATCAGGAGGGAGCATATGTTACATAGGATTGAATGGTACAGCTACCTCTGTGTTGAAGTAGGTAGGCACATGATTGCTCTCCATATGACCAGTTTGAGCAGATCAATTTCTGTCCAAAAATCCCAAATACAATCCCTTGCACATTTCAGCGAGGTTGTCCGACAGACGTGATAGGAGGGCACCATTCCTGAATTGAAACCATGGCTGCCAACATCTTATACTCAGGTGATCACTGAGACTGCCTGTCCCAGCATCTTCTTCCTACTCTTCCTCGTCTGCCTATCGTTGATTACTGTACTTGCGGACCCTCCACTTTCACCTCCGTCATCGCCTTCTCCTCTTCATCCGTCTACACGCTATCCTTGTGTCCTTGTGTTTCTCCTGGTATTCTTGACCGCTACTGTCGCCTCGTCCTCCAACTTCTCCACCTCCTCCTCGATTTCGTTGCTTTGTAAGGCTCCTGACATGAAGACGTAGTTGACCTGCATCGCATTGGAGCCATGAGGGGCAGAAGGTTCAGAAACAGTCTGCTCGGGCACAAATCACTTGTCGACAAGCTAACTCTCCACAAAGAGCTAAGAGGACATGCTGGGTGTGTGAACAGACTCTGCTGGAACGAGACTGGAACCAAGCTCGCGTCGGTGTCCGACGACTGCAAGTGCATCATATGGGACGTGAACAGGAATTCTCACCTCGAGATCTCGACGGAGCATGAGAGAAACATCTTTGGCGTTGCGTTCATCCCAGAGAGGAACGACAGCTGGATCGTGACCGGTGCCATGGACTTCCAAGTCCGGCTCCACAAGATCTCACCGGACGGGGACTGCAAGGGAGAGCTCTTCTCGTACCACACTGACAGGGTGAAGGACGTCAAGACCATCTCTCAGGAGCCAAACTTGTTCTGGAGCGCAGCGGAGGACGGGACGATTCGGCAGTATGACCTCCGAGTGCCGGCCGGCAACCCTGGCGGGGCGAGCGGAATCCTTGTAAACCTCCAGAGAAATGGCGGCGCCGACTTGATAGAGTTGAAGGCCATAGATGTGAATGCAGCGCGGCCATGGTACCTTGCTGCTGCGTGCAGCGACCCTGTTGCAAGGGTGTACGACCGGAGAATGTTGAAACTTCGTTCTGACGAGACCCCCGGGTGTGTGTGGGAGTTTGCGGTCGAAGACTCCCCTAACCAGCTGCTCTTCAACACGCATGCGACGTACGTCAAGTTTAGCAACTCAGGTCATCAGCTTCTTGCCAACTTTCATGCCAACGCTGCATACTTGTTCGATCTGGACAGGCCGGAGGACCCGCAGCAACGATTCTCCAACATGCTCGACCCCGAGGCTGCGAACAGGGTGGATGGGTTGTTCCCTCGTGAGATTGGAAGTTTTGGGGCAGAGTTTCAAGGCTGCTTTCCGAAGCGCTCCTATCACTTCTCCAATCGCCGGACGTACACGGAAAGGGAGAGGGAGACGAACAAGACCATATTCATGTCCGTCCATGATGACATCAGCGCGATGAAGGAGTGCTTATCCGACAGCATCGATGACTGCAGTAGAGCCATCGCCATGCTCGGTCAAGGGACCTCGGTGCTGTCGGAGGTCTGCAGGCTGAGGATCTTGCGAGGAAACTTGCTGTTGAAGAGGAAGTGGACCGCAGACATACTGCTTGCTCTCTTCGACAGTCAATTCGTAGAGGCTAGCGAAGAGGGGCTGTCGGAAGACAACCTCTTACTGCGCCTCAAGTGTCTACAGCAGCTGGAGAGGTATCAGGAAGCATTCGAACTGTGCGCGGAGTTTCCGGATCTCTTTCACAAGAACAAGAAACTAAGCAAGATCCGCAAGAACATCAAGTCCAAGATCCAGGAGAACCATTACGAGGTGAACTAGCCCTTCCTCTCATTTCTTTCTTACATTCGCGCCACCACGGGGCCCAACCATGTTTCTTGTCTCGCGTTGACGATTTTGTGGCGTGTAACGTTTTGTGCCATCTTAACGAGCCTGTTGCAATCATTCGCTCCTTTGAATTGAAAACCTTAGGTGCAAAGGGAAGACGACGAGGAGATGGAAGTTTGCTCTCAAGACCAGGAGGTAACAGACGTCCCCTGCCCCCTGCTCCCCTGCCCCCCTGCTCCCCTGCCCCCCGTTGACCCGTCTCACCATCTTCATCTGTGCTGAGAGCTACTGCAGGCAGAATCATCAGACGAAGACAAGATGGAAGAGAACAGGTATGCGAGCCTTGAAAGCATCGTCGGTAATTGACGAGCTACCCGCCCAGCTCAAATGCAGCAATGAAGTGTGAGGCTGAGGACAGGAAGGAGGGTGAGGAAGGGAATTCAACCGGAAGAGGCGCATCGATGCGCAAGGGAGAGCAAGGGATCTACCGACCTCAAGTTTGCGATCCCAAGAGGTTCCGACAGAGGTCTTCCTCCTCCTTGGACAGTGTTAACCGTTGAAAACTGTACCCTCACAGGTACCTCGGCCACGCGAACGTTCAGACGGACATCAAAGAATGCACGTTCATGGTAGCGCTGAGCTTCGGTTGACAAGTACGGCTGTGTAACACAGTGATGCAGGGCAAGGACGACCAGTTTGTGGTTGGAGGAAGCGACGATGGGAAAGCGTATATATGGGATCGCAAGACTGGTGAGCGCAGGCAGTAGAGACTTGCGAGCAAAGGGAGCGAGCAAGAAGCAGAGAGACAAAGAAGAAGAGGGGAAGCGATGCAAAGGGAGGGGAAGGAGATAGGCAGGAATGGGCAACGAAGAGATAGGGTAGACTGGTTGGAGCAGGCTTCTGATTCCAGTCTTTGCAGGGAAGCTTCTGCGTATTCTCTCTGCGGATCAAGACATTGTCAACTGTTGTCAGGTGCCTGCAGCTACGACGATGTCTGCTCTGAACGAGAAATGGCAGGCCAACCCACATGAGTTCTTGCTAGCTACAAGTGGGATAGAAGACCATGTAGCAACCTACCTCTTCTCTTCTGCCGCCTTACTGTCGTCCCCTACCCTCGCACTCTTTTCCCGCCTCCTTCCTTCTAAGTTCTCGAGTCCCTACATCTTTCGTGGCCTCTTCAAGGCTCGCTCTGATGTTCTTGTCCCAACAGGTCCGTCTATGGCGGCCCAACGGCAGGATTGGCGTCATAGCATCAGAGTAGTCTATCTCTGCTACGGCGGCAAGCGACTGACGCGTGCCTTCTCCACCAGGATGAGGGGGCGAGACGCGATGGAAGACTACTCGTCCGAGGACGAGGAGGAGACGGACTGGAAAACTGCATCTAGAAATGATGATGCTTCTTCGCCACGGGAACAATTTTGTGTGAGTTCCGTGCAAGAAACTTGGCGGAGGTAACCTTCTGATCCCACTCCAGGTGAGCGACGAGAAAACCTTGAAGAAACATGTCGAGCTGAGTCAGAAGGTCAAATTGTTTGCTAGCTCCGCTAAACCTTGGACCTTATTCATCTCAGAGCCGTCGCTCCGGCAGCAGGGCACGGAATATTCCATTCCCTCCCGGAATCCTCCTGCAAACACTCCAGGTGACCTCCAACCCTAATCCAACCACAACATGACGTGTAACGCAGCAAAACATGGTGTACGACCCAGCCACAGATATGCTGGAAGTACGGAGCGGTGCAGGTTCTCCTTGCAGACTATGATGACATGAGGGTTGACTCGAGCTCACAGCAGCAGGGCCTCGACTAGTTTCCTGCAGGCAGCAGTGACGGTCTTTCGTATCGTCTTGTCCTCGAGTGGTAGCGGTAAAGGATATAAAGTGTAGCTGATAGCACCCCTTTCACCTCTCACCGGAGGCCCCTTCACTCTCGAGGCAACTTGACGTGAGATCGGGACTGCTGCTCTAGACCACTCAGTTTGATATTGCAGAATGACTTGAGGGAAACTACAACGCTAGAGAGGGATCGACGGCGCATGAGAAAATCAGGTACCTTTCGAGCACCAATTCAAACATGCGCCGAGAAAGACGGATTCAAACAATGCGGAAAAAAACATGCTCGTGAGAGTTTATTGTTATAATACCAGCTCTATGTTACATCTAAAACTTTCGCAAGCGATTCAAGCAAGGCAGCCTCCTCCCGTCCACGCTCCCCCCTGCCTCTCTCTGTAGCCTCTCGATGTACCCTATCGAGTGCTCCAGCGCCCTCAGCTGCCTCCGCTTCGTCCACGACAGCTTCCCGTACTTCTCCTCCAAGTTTCCTGCCTCGAGCCCCTTGGTCGCGTCGCTGCTGATGGGCTGCTCGCTCGCGTCCTCTGCGCCGGGCGATGCTGAGACGTCAGGGGACGGGGTCTCGTCCGGGGTCTGGCTGTCGGAAAGGGAGGGGGAGCACAAGTCGAGGGGCGTTGATGCATGTGCGGCGGCGGTCTGGATGAAGACGGCGCGGTCGATGGCGAAGGTGTTGATGCACATGGTAAGGGAGGAGGAGGAGGAGGAGGAGGAGTAGAGGAGGGGGAGGGAAGAGACGGAGAAGCTGTTCGGGCTTGCTGGCTCTGACAGAGCGTTAGCTTGTGGAGAGGGTCGAAGGGGTGGAGGAGGTCTGAGCTAGATGGAGTTTGGGGGCAGGGTATAAGTCACGAAGGGGGCAAGGTGGAGGGGAAGAAGGGTGGGTGGTATCTGTTTGATTTAGAGGGCGAAGGTGAAGGGATGTATATTATATCCTATATCTCGAATAGAACAATATGTGAGCATGAGTGAGGTCAAAACAGAAATAGCCTCAGCTTTCTGTGGATGGGGTAGAGAGTAGTACCGAATCTGGTTTTGGTCTTTTACTACGCATTTCACAGAGAATTTCTACCCTACCCACCGCGTATCTTCAAGATTCGCTCGTTCCCGGATGGTACCCCCCTTATCTCCTCAGGTGTACCCCCATTCTGTACCACAAACTCTCAACATGAAAATTCCGCTATCTACCCCACCCACCGATCATCGAAGGCGCAAGACTCAACGGTACGTGATCATTCGCACCGAGCTGGAGGTGTCTGACACGAAGAGGCCTCAGTCGCAGTCATTCCTCTATGTGGCCGTCATGGTCAGTCTTGCCCCACCTTATTCATGTCAGCCTTTGCCACCTACAACGTCTCTTATCCGACTCGATATCCGTACCGGGACCATACGGTACCGTCCGATCGCCGTTCGGGCGCTGGTTGCCCCGGCCGGGTCCACTGAGCCCAGGCCCGCCCTCGATGAGTGGAAGGCGAGTTTGAGTAGAAGCCTGGGTGAGCCAGAGTTCATGTGGAGATGCTAGCGGCGGCGAGTTCATGTACTACGGTAGAGATGCTAGCGGCGCGGCGGCGGCGCGTTGCCGCATGACTCTGTGAACAGCAGCGGTCGAGGCTGTGCATTTTAGCAGTGGCCACCACTGTCAATCAACCAAGAACACCGGTCTTGGATGTGCACACAGCGTGACTAGCACCCACTGCCGAATCAAGGTGATGAAGCTGTTTCATCGTGTGATCACACAGTAACTTCAGCTGCGAGTGCTGGATGGCAGCAAACAGGCAAGAGCTCGAACTACTTTGTGATAGAGGTGATGGCTGTGTAGTTCAACTTGTGGCTGTATTTTCAACTACATCGAGGTCGAGATAGCTTTCAGTCATACTATATGCCACTATAGAGTCCTAATCGTTGAACAGCTCGAACTTTCGCAAAAGCGAAGCACCTGAAGGCCGGGCAGCCTCCTCCCGTCCACGCTCCCCCCTGCCTCTCTCTGTAGCCTCTCGATGTACCCTATCGAGTGCTCCAGCGCCCTCAGCTGCCTCCGCTTCGTCCACGACAGCTTCCCGTACTTCTCCTCCAAGTTTCCTGCCTCGAGCCCCTTGGTCGCGTCGCTGCTGATGGGCTGCTCGCTCGCGTCCTCTGCGCCGGGCGATGCTGAGACGTCAGGGGACGGGGTCTCGTCCGGGGTCTGGCTGTCGGAAAGGGAGGGGGAGCACAAGTCGAGGGGCGTTGATGCATGTGCGGCGGCGGTCTGGATGAAGACGGCGCGGTCGATGGCGAAGGTGTTGATGCACATGGTAAGGGAGGAGGAGGAGAGGAAGGAAGGAAGGAAGTGAAGTGGGAGGGAAGGGAGGAGCTTTGCCTCTCAACGCTCTCGGAGAGCGGAGGGCTCAGCGGCTTGGGTCTGCGTGTGCCTTCAGGTTGCAGTTCCTTCAGTCCGGAAACCTCTTGTTTATATAGCAAAGCACAGGGAAAGCTTCGAAGGCACGTAATAGTACAAAAGAAGGGGTGGGGGTGGGGTATTTCTGGTACTGACCGTATCGGACAGTTTACTACTGGGACAGGTGTATCTGAACATCTCAGTCATACAAGGACTCCGTGAGCAGAAACATCCCGCTGACGACAAGTCAGAGGGTTCCTGACATGAAGCGGCCTCAGTCGCTGTCATGCTTCAAGGTGGCACCGGTTCCTGCCTCCCACCTCTCTCCTTTTCGTTTCAGCGGCTCCTCCACCTTCAGTCGGAATTACCCGAATCGCCGAGGGTTTGAAGCAGTGCTGTTTCCCGAATGTGAGTCCAACGTACTTTCAACATCAGTCTAAATGTGGCTTTCAGGAGCAGAATCGCCGGCCCGTGACTGTCACAGGCTGTGCGGGGCCGCCGCCCGTGATGACCGGCCATGTGAGTTACAACCGTGAAGTTAAACCGGGGTTGACTGCGTCCCGGAGCGAGAAAAGGCAACGGTTCGGGAATTTCCTACGAGAAGTGACTGACACGAAGAAGCATGACGGCGACTCCACTCTCTTCGATTCGGGCTCGGATTCTCAGTTTCTGTACCACCCTTCCACCCCCCTTAGAGACTGGTTGACGACCCCGTCATCCTACTTGTGACGGATTTCCGCTCCCCGACTGAGGAAATATCCCTGTCTGGTCCCCAAACATAAACTCCGTCCATCCCTGCTTTCCTCCCTTCCCTCCCTCCCTCCTCTCTACTCCTCCTCCTCCTCCTCCCCACCTCCTCCTCCCTTACCTCACCATGTGCATCAACTCCTTCGCCACCGACCGCGCCGTCTTCATCCAGACCGCCGCAGCACATGCATCAACGCCCCTCGACTTGTGCTCCCCCTCCCTTTCCGACAGCCAGACCCCGGACGAGATCCCGTCCCCTGACGTCTCAGCATCGTCTGGCGCAGAGGACGCGAGCGAGCAGCCCATCAGCAGCGACGCGACCAAGGGGCTCGAGGCAGGGAACTTGGAGGAGAGGTACGGGAAGCTGTCGTGGACGAAGCGGAGGCAGCTAAGGGCGCTGGAGCACTCGATAGGGTACATCAAGAGGCTACAGAGAGAGGCAGGGGGGAGCGTGGACGGGAGGAGGCTGCCTGGTCTGGACGCTATCTGATGATCAGTATGCCAGGGGTGATGTAACATAGATCAGTCAGTATAGGACCGTACATACGACATAAACGCTTTTAAAACAAGAGGCTCATCCCTTCGAATCCGACTCCTCAGATTTGCCTCGTGTATACGGTTCATTGTACAAATGATCCGTTCTAGATTGATCTTGACTTCTGGTGAGACTATTTGCCTCTCACACTTCCGTGGCACAGAATCTGTTTATGACACAGTCATGAGAGCCGTGTATCATTATCAGCCTAAAACCCTAAACTATTGTATCATCAGCCTTCAGGCTTCATTCTCTGAACCGTCACTGGCTTCAGCGTATCCCCGGCGGGAGTCCGAGGCTGGGCATCATGGCGCCACGCTCCTCGGAGTCTTTTCCTTAAGTTCCTCCCGGGCCCCCGGAACTTCCGCTGACGGAAGCCGGGGGCGCAGTGACTCGGCGCCGCCCGGCGCCGGCGGTTGACCCTCGGACATCACTGAGTCCGATCATGATGCCATCATCGGATAGCCGCCCGGCTCGGACTCCAGTTTAACTTCAGTGAGTCATGTAGTAAAGGCCCGGGCACTGCAGGGCCCTCATCCGATCGCGGATGATCCGATCCGATCGGAGTCCCGGGATCGGACCGCAACAGTCACGGTGGCAAATGAACTCGGAGGGCCAACAGTTCTGGCAGACAACCGTTGAACTGCGGCCAGAGCCGGGCCGCCCGCCTGCGGCGAGGGCCATCGTGCCACGCTCACCGGCGGTCACCGGGTGCCGGCCCACTCAGACGGTCCCCCGGGCCGGGCCGGGGCGGGCGCGGCCGCCGGGGCGGCGCCCGCCGCTCACAGGCTCACCCGGACCTGACTGAGTCACTATCTGAACGATGAGGCGGGCTTGCTTGTTGAATTGAAGGAACATGGTGATGGCGCAGGATAGTTGAGGGGCAACGGGCGAGGCGCTGAGAGCTATCGCAACCCCCGGCATGCAGAACGACGACGATCAGGATGACCTTGTGCTCCATGGCGAGGAGCTTCCTCCTCCTCGTCCTCAGCCCATTGAGTCCAGTATAGACCCTGCCCCCGCTATTCTCAACCCGCAGCAAGGCGGCTTCCTTGAGTCGGGGGAGGGAGGAGAGAGGGAGGTCCACCGAGATCGATTCCGACGTTATCATCCTCCTCCAGGGACAGCAAGAGCGTCAACGCCTCCTACGGACCAGGGCACCGTCAGGACTCCTGGCACTGGAGGCCTTCTCCGTATACTCACTTCCCTTGCAAGCAGCGGGGTGGTAGAGCGCTTCGACTACGATGTCTTGGACATGGAGGATGAAGGAGCACAGGAAGGAGCGTCAATGGATCACGCAATCAGTCTGCTCGAGGAGCTTGTTCCTGGGTTGACCAGGGGAGAGATCCGGACATCCATCCTACAGAAAGGGGAGGGAACAGCCGCGGTGGTCGCTGCCAGCATCCCTGGAGAGCTCGGAAGCTTCTCGACGACAGTGGATGGAAGAGGATGCGTCACTGGTGCTCGTGTGGAGAAGGTGACTGGAGCTGCTGCCGGCATGGAGCGATGGACGCACACGATACCAGGAGGAGTGCGAGATGCCGTGATCGAGTTCTATCAGGATGGAGGGGCGCGGGAGATCGTTTCGAAAGTCAGGGACGGGGATGGGGATGGGGATGGGGATGAGGCAGTGGAAGGGGAGGAGGAGAAGTGGATGCAAGTTGTATCCTCCTCCTTCGGCAAGGCAAGCGACCAGCTCGCAGCTGCCTTCATGTTTGAGCCTGCCCTTCCTGTTGGAACCATCGTTACTAAGATCCGAGGAGGAAAGATATTGATCCTTGGAGACTACTACGGCTGGGAGGTAGGATATGAAGTATGTTGCTGCTCCTGATGATTCCTGTGCTGTGTTGGCAGGTGATTGAGATGCTCATTCGATTCACTGCCATGTTCTTCTTGTACGCTATCCTCGTCATCCTCTTCTTCGGCTTGATCTATCCTGATGAAAACGGAAGCGCTACTCCAGGATCGATCACATTCCTTATCCTTGCGTCCAACCAGGTGGGACGACTGTCTGCGCTCGCTCGCTCGCTCCCCTGACCTCTTCGTGCAGCGGGGGAACCTCTCCTTCTATGTTTCGTTCCTTTTCCAGATCATCTTCATCTACGTCGCTATCTTCTCTCTCCGACGGGCTCGAAGGGTGGGGAGGATGCTGGCTCTGCGGCAGGTGATGCCGGTCAAGGGGTTTCAGCTCTGCCTGGCAATGGGGAGGAGGGCGAAGTCGAGTGGGCTCATGGAGACCCTCGAGGCAGCGCTGAGGGAGGGAGGGGTCAATGTTTGGACCAGCAGCTCGTACGTGCAGAACGCAGAGAAGAGGGGGAGGCAGATTATGCATGCGGTGAGCAGGTCCTGCTTCCAGCTCATCGTCCTCTCCCCCGATCTCATCTGCTCCTCCTCCGACTGCGTCCACATCCTCGAAGCTCTCCGTGGCCCGCGGAGTCGCTCTATCTTCTACCTTGACAGGTCAGCGGACTGGCTCGCTTCCATCCATGGCAGGACCCTGGAGGCGAACCACGTGGACAGGATGGAGGAGGCGCTGAGACGGCTGGGCTTCAGAGTTGTGAGCTGCCCGAAGCTGCTCCTGCAGCTGATAGACTCGCTGTATCTCCACCCGGAGGAGGGATCGGAGGAGGAGGCGCTCCTGACACAGTGGTGGGCCTCCTCCCCCCCTGCCTACAGCAGCTTCACCCTCCCTACCTCCCTCTCGTACGGGATCTGCTCTTCCAGGACCGGGTCCACTGTCTCCTTGTGCGGCCTGCAGGGTCACGTCAATTTCTCCTTCTCCGGAAAGCTCTTTCCTCCTTCCCACTCCCTCCGCAACGGCTGGTTTTACCTTGCAAAGTCCAGCATCAGCAGCAGCAGCAGCAGCAGCAGCAGCAGCAGGTCTTCGCCTCCTCTCACGCGCTCCGACGACGTCGAGCTCACTCCTGCTCCACTTGCTTCTTCCTTCTCCTCGCAGACCCAGCGAACCCAGGTGTGCCCTGGCTGACCCTTGCAGCAAGGTTCTGAGAAGTTTGAGCAGGTTCACTTCGAGCTGGGAAGGATGTTCGGCGTCTCGTGGCTGGGTCTAGCGGTCCTTCTTTTCGAGGTCTGCATCGGCGGTTTCATCCTCCTCGGCCCCTACTGCGGCGACACTTTCTCTTCCTACTCGCGAATCTTCGGCAGTCAGTACGGCACTTGCCAGCTGACAGGTCTGGGCTTGTCCTATCAGCCGCCCCTATTCTCCCCCGCAAACTTCACAGCTGCTGAGGTCGTGGTGGGGACGTGCTGGGCGACCTTTCAGGTAAGGGGGAGGGAGGGCGGGAGAGTCCTTTCCCAGCTGAGAAGACGGCGTCAGATCTGTTGCGAGACCTGTAGGTCGCGTGCAGGGTGCTGGGGGTTCACGGTCGAAGGGGCCCGTTGCGTATTTACTGATGGCAGCAGCTGGAGTCCGCCCTCGGTCTCCTCCTCCTCCTCCTCCTCCTCCTCCTCCTCCTTCTCCTCCTCTTCCTTCCCCCCTCCCCCCTCCCCCCTCCCCCCTCCCCCCTCCCCCCTCCCTCCTCTCAGTTTCTGCCTCTCTCTCTTCCTATTTCAAGAAACCTCCTCTTTCCCTCACCCTCTCTTCATGCTCCTTGACCTGAGTTTTGCCCCTGGCCTCGTGCTAGTCCTCTTCCGTTTCACTGTCTTTCTCTCTTCCCTTTCCTTTTCTCCTCCATCCTCTCCTTCTCTTTCTCATGATGTTCGGATCCGTCTCCCCCCAAACCTCCCCCGGTCCTCCTCCTCCTTCTCTTCCTCTCTTTCCTCCACTTGTGCTTTCGTCCTCATTGTCTCCTCCTTGCTGCTGACCAACTCGAACAGGATGCCGGTGCTCCCGCTGAGTTTCCTCCTCCGAGCTATGTCTGCAAGGGATGCCTGTCAGGTCGACTACTGACAAGCAACGAGCTGGTGCGAGGAGGATGCTGGAAGCAGGGGGGAGGGGGGGGGGAGGGGAGGAGGAGGAGGGAGGGGAAACAGGAGGGAAACTGGAGGGGAGAAGCTGATGCAGTGTGTTCCTGTTGACATTTTTGCAGTTTCACGTTTATCCTCCATACTTCTCTTTCCTACAAGTGATCTCTCTCTGTTCTTTTCCCCCAGCTCCCCTCTCAGCTGACCTCGACCAACGCAGATCATTGCCCTGTTTCTCTTCCTTAACGCCCCTGCCGTCCTGTGGCGATTTCTTGACTGTCGTCTTCATCACTCATCGGAGCTCCTGGTCCTCGCTTGCTCTCCTGTCCTCTCCTGTCCTGTCTCTCCTCCCCTCTCCTCTCTCTTTCCTCCTCTGCTGTCCCGTCCTCCCTCCTCTTGTGCTCTGCTCTGCTCTGCTCTGCTCTGCTTTTCTCTTGTGATTCTTATCTGCAGCCCTTGTTTCTCATTGCAGAGGAGTTTCGCCGAATGGACTTGAGCCTGCATGTCAGTCTTTATTCCTGATCCTGCTCCTTGCGATCATCATCGTCCTATAGCTTCTGCTTCCCCTTTCGACATGTTCTACTTTACTTCTCTCTACCCCTCAGCTTCTTTTAGCTCCTCCTCTACTCTCCTGCTCCCGCTTCAGCAACCCTCCGCCCCCCCCCTTCCTCTTCCTCTTCCTCTTCCTCTTCCTCTTCCTCTTCCTCTTCCTCTTCCTCTTCCTCTTCCTCTTCCTCTTCCTCTTCCTCTACTTCTTTCTCCTCACTCATCCTGGCAGGTCTTCACAGACTCGCACGGGCAGGCGCTCGAGACACTTTCCCCGCTCGTCTCCTTCCTAGAGAGTTGTGGCCTCCGCGTCGCTGTCGCTTCCGACTTGGCTCACGCCGCTGCTTCCCCTGACTTCTTCGTCCTCTTCCTCACCGACTCAGAGTCTGCCGCTGACTACTGGAAAGGTACGGACATCTTCCTCCTCCTCCTCCTCCTCCTCCTCCTCCTCCTCCTACTCCTCCTTTTCCTCTCCTTGTTCTGTCTCCGTACCATGCTCTCGTTGCCTCCCCACCTCACCCGATCTTCTATCTCCTTTTCTTCCATCTCCTCCTCTCCGTCACCTCTCATCGTCTCGCTGCCTTCTCGCTCCCCCATTCTCTCCTCTTCCCTCCTCGTTCCTGATCCAACCATCGCAGAACGACACCGGTTTGACTCAGCTCGGCACCTGCTCGTGGTCTCTTCCCGTGCTCTAGGTGAGTCTCCTCCTCCTGCCCCCCACGAGAGCCTAAGGGATGTCAAGGGTCAACCCCGCAGCTCCTCGACCTCGAGGTCCTCGTCGTCGAAGAAGAAGTCTTCCTGCATCGATTCAACCAGGTTCCTTGCGTCTGCCGCCGCTGCTGTTGCCGCTGCCGCTGCCGCTGCCGCTGCCGCTGCCGCTGCCGCCTCTGCTGCTGCTCGACACTTGTTTTGATTATCGGATTTGCAGAATCTCATCGCTAAGACGGCAGTTTACATCCACAAGAGATCTCTCAGAGCTGGAATTCCTACTTGACTTGCGTCCCTCCCTTGTTTGCATCTTTATTCCTAGTATACTATCCTCTCCACTTTCTCCTCCTCCTCCTCCTCCTCCTCCTCCTCCACCACGTTTTGATACTGATTTGATAGCTATGCTAGTTAAAAGATTCTGGGTACCTGACAAGAAGAAGTATTCTCTATGTTGGCTCAACAACATGGAGGATGCTGGAAACTTTGCTGCCCATACATACTGTTGTTTGAAAAACTGCGTCATAAAACTAAGATTAAGCATAACTGACGATATACTGGAAAAGATTTGTACACTTTTAGTGTTAATGAAACCACAAAACCCGTTACTACATGACTGCAAAAGTTTCAGATGAAACCGGTCTAATTTGATTCGTCAGGGAGCAATAAACACGTTTTTTAGCTGTTTTTAAGCTACTAAAAATTATGTGTGAGAGCTAGACTAATTCATATTTAAGCAATACCACCTTGAGAAAGTGAGATTTGAAACATGAAATTGAATAGAGCCCAATGGATGTATAATAGGATTTTGAGGGTTCATCTCTAATTACCTGAA